AAATGACAAATATCCTCGCTTAAAATAATGTTTTTGAAACTCCCAAAAATGGCTATTATAATGAGTAACACACAATAAGATTATAATTTGGTTTGGAAAGGGAATCAACTCTTGCTTGAGCTATATTATTGGTAACTAGATTTTAGAAAATTATGAAAAACAATTTCTTTTATATGGGAGGGGGGGGGGGGTGCAAATTCGTCATTGCACCCCCCTTTCAGAAGAAAGGGGGGTGCACCTGCACCCTTGCACCCCCCCTGGCTACGGGCCTGAGGGGGGGGGTCCAAAAATTGTTCTCTAGGAATATACCCTGCTTTAAATGGATGTTCACCTGAAATTTAAATTAATTAATTTATTAAATTTATTTAATAAAAACGGTTTATATTTACATGTAAAGCTAGCTTATTACAAACCATAGTGTCAAGAGTATAGACAGTGAGCTGCAGAAGAAAACCAGCACTTCTTTAAAGAAGTGCTAGTTTTCTTCTGCACTTCTTTAGAAGCACTTCTTCTAAAGAAGAAAGGTGAAGCTGAGATATATCTGCAATTCCCATTATTTTTTGGAGGGTTTTGTGTTTTTAGGAACTTTGAGCTGTACATAACGGGGTTATTTTAGAAAATGTAACATAAAACATAACCGATTTTTTATTGCATGTTGGATCCCTAAGTTGTGCCCTGCAATAATAAAAAAGGAATCTTTGTAACTAACTTATTTTTTATTTAAAAACCTATTAAACTTCCCATTCTTTTGCTGATTTTCCTTTCCCCGTGTAAATTGAATGAGTTAGGGTATGAAAAGCTTGCATGATAACAGCCAATGTAATAATAAAAATCCTAACAAAAACACTATCTCTTTTACACTGGAACTTTGTCAGACAAAATTCTAATATTGTGATCTAAATATCTAAAAAACAATTAGGCAAGTTCAATCCTTCGAACAGTCTGATAGAACTGGGATTTGTACAAGTATCCACGGTTCAAGTGACAGAAAGTTTATATAGACAAACTTTAATACTAATTCTTAATTAGGATTTAAGAATCAAAAGTGCGAAGTTTAATCTAATTTATCATGTTGTATGCTACACACCGTTGGTTATTTGTCACCGTATATATATTTGATTTATTGTTTTTAAATTCCTTATGTTCAACCCAATGTAAAGTGTATCATGGTCTTTTCTTAAAGGGATTTTGGACGAAATTCTGAATGGAATCTATAATTTTTTCATTGAAGATTAAATTTTTTTGTTTGTGGTTTCTCAACTCTTGCTTTTGTGCTTTAGAAACAATGGAGGAGGCTGTCATAAGTAAACGATTTAAGCTACAGTGATAACCAGAAAACTCTGGAATAGGAAGTCGAATTTTAAACTCAAGATATGACTTTTAATAAGTTTGAAGTAAAGCTATTTGCTTTAAACAACATCAAATGCACTTCAGAAATGCTATAATGTCGTCTTCCTATTCCACAGTTTTCTGTTTATGACTGTAGAAAAATTATATCTTCCATAATATTGACTTGAAATTACAATGATATTCTCTTTAAGGAATTTATATAAAAGTTTGTGTAGATTTTTCAATATCTATCCTTCTGACGGCAATCTTTAACAATTTTAAAGTATTTCGAAAACTTGGTCTCCATGGACTCTAAGAAATTTAAAATTTTCATCTAACAAAATTTGTTGGAGCACTGGCATCAAATTCACCTTCGCAGTATCTTTCCACAAATGTTGACGAATGTTTCTGCTAAGGTGAATTTGATGCCCGTGCTCCAACAAATTTTGTTAGATGAGAATTTGAAATTTCTTGGACTGTGGAATATGTATATAGAGCCAAAAAAATATGCTAATTTTCAATTTTTTGATCAAGGTTCTTATTGTTTATTGAATATTAATTGTAAACTGTATATCTTAGAAAGCACTAACAAAATTATAACTCTGCATCTATCTTTTGTTTTGGACGATCTTATACATTTTACTTCTGTAAGAATAATAATATTTTGATAAATGATACAAAGCGTATTAAGATTTGATTTCTCAACCTCACCAAATAAAAACGTTATAACACCTGCTCAGCCTATCCAGGTAGAGTGTATGAGCAGTCTGTGTAGTCTGTGAAACAAACTAATGTATTCAAACATGATGAAAAATTGACATTAAACATCAACTATATTTTTCCATAAAAACACTCAACAAACAAAAGAATATATTGTAAACAAAGCATAAAGTCTGATTCCGGTTTTTTATTCCATAAATAAAGGAACGATTAATATAAACACTTTATCAATCAACCATTTCCTATAATACAATATTGTATATTGTACCTGAAATGTCTCAAAAAGGCCAAAAAGTGTTTGGATTTCATAAAAAGAGTTCGTTTAGAAATAGCTAGAGTTTTTAAAAGAATTTAAAGATATTGTAAATTGTGATACTTTAAAAACGGAGAAAACAAGTAGAAAGTTACAAAAAAAGCGGCAAAAAAAGATGAAATTAATCGATTAAGCAAGTAATTGAGTTAAGGACGTAACTTTTTATTTCAAATATCTCCAATTTTTACTTAACTATCAATTTCTTTAATTTCATCCATTTTCAGTTTAATTGCAGCACACTCAGGTCTCAATGTCGATCCCATAGGTCGGTATAGGTATATGCAATTTATTTCAAAATAAATTGCATTCACGAAGTTATTAATGTTATTAATTAAGTTATTAATTATTAAGATGCATTTACTGTTAGAAAAAAAACTAATATTTTATTTAAAATACTGAACTAAAAAAGAACATTTTGCGCTAAATTTTGAACTAAACGTTTTGTTTTAAAATGGACTACAATCCCTCCAGTGGAATCATAGTCCTGCTGGGAAGATATCTGAATCCCTCCAGTGGGATTTTAGAGCCCTAGGGAGACTATCTGAATCCCTCCGGTGGAATGTACAAAATCCCTCCAGTGGAATCATAATCCTGTTGGGAAGATATCTGAATCCCTCCAATGGGATTTTAGAGCCCTAGGGAGACTATCTGAATCCCTCCGGTGGAATGTAAATCACACTGTGTAAAGTTTCAATTCAATAATTGTAATTTCTCAAACCCCTCCGGTGAGTGACCCTCATATTTCAAGCAAAGATGGCAATGCCCGATCTAGGTGTGAGGTACTATCCCACAGGCATTTTCCCAAGGGCAGCTTCCCAAGTATCAATTTCCCAAGTGCTAACTTCAAAAACGTGCAATTTCCCAAGCAACTTCCCAAAGGAAAGGTTAGGCTCTCTGAGGCGCCGCAGGGTGCAATTGGGGCCGAGCGCTACAGCTAGGATACAACATAGACTTTTAAATACCTTTGTATAACAAGAAAATTTCTCTTGCTACGTTATTTTAAATGAAGAATTCAGCAAGTTTTTCCATGTTAAACTAAAGTAAATTGCACCTTAGATTGAAATCTGTTTTTCTTAAAAAATGATTTTTTTTTCAAAAACATGTTCTAAGAGGACTAGAAATTTGTGAAAGCAAAATACTTAAGATCAAAAAAATATAATTGTAATTAAAATTCATTACAAACATATTTTTTAAAAAAGCATTATTTTTAATCATTATTCATTACAAGCATATTCTTTAAAAAAACCATATGTTTCTTTAGAATGGAAAAAATAATGAAAATAAAATTGGGGTTAATCTTAGGATCTTTGAGCATTTCAAATTTATAAGAACTTTTCTTAGCCATCATGCCAAAAAGATTAATCTGAAACCTTTTTAAAAAGTTCTGCAGCTATTATAGTGAATCCTAACAGATAAAATGGTGCTTAAAAATCTTCCTTATATTACAAAATAAAATTATTTCAAGACGACATTTAAGTTACTCTTTTAATAGGCAGTGCTAGAAGGGATGGGAATGCAGACCTGCCATGAGCCCCGCGAAATTACCTCCGGAACCTCCTTATATGCAAAAATACATCCAAGCCCTGCAAACCATCTACGTTCATCTTGCTATGTCCCCAAGCCTCCGCATATTAATCTACGCTTGAAGAACCATTAAAATAAAAAAATGTCAAATATTCATAATAGAATTCACAATAGTTTAAATAATTGTTTAATACACAAAGTTTAAATATTGATTCATTTAGTTGATGAAAACTTGTTTTCTTGTGAAAACTTTACACAAAGCATACACTTAAAGCACAAATGTTTATTTTTACAAAAACTGTTTTTTTTTGTGAATTGGTTCTAATATAGTTTAATTTGTACAAGGTACATCTGTAAATTAACATAAAGTTTCTCTATCTTTATATAAACTGCAAAAGTTATTCACAAGTTAAGGAGTAGAAATGGTATTAAATACCTGGAGAGTAGCAATATCTCTAATTCCCAAAAACTTGTAATTAAGATTAAATGTGAAACAAATGGGAATATATAAACGCCTTTTTTAGAATATATTTATATTTGTTCTTGAACTGAGCAAGATAGAAAAATGCCCTACTTCTAAATTTTTTTCCCTACTCTATCTCTCTTCGTGGTATAGTGGTATTATTTAATAGGCCCCATTTAAAGGGAGTTTTTGAGAAAAATGAAAGGGGGTATAGGCTTACATTAAAAAAAGGTGCTTTTAATTGCTACTATTGTTATTTCTATCTGTTGCGTCTATTAGGAGAAAATTGTTAAAGACGACCCATATCGAAGAACGTAGCGTCCATGCAAATTTAGAACTTTGCAATATTCAATATCAATTTAATTCCAAACAAATCATTCAGATATTACAACCAATAGTCATAAATGATGTATCGACGCATTCATATATATTTGATATTTAATAATATCATTTATTTTGTTTTTAAATAATATTTGCTGGCGCTGGATTTTAGAACATTCCTGGAAAATATGAAAATGTTGTCTTTATTATCAAAAATCTTCGAAACAGGAAAAAAGCTCTTATTTTTCGCTATAAGCCTATACCCCCTTTCATTTTTCGCGAACACTCCCTTTGAACAGTCCAGTGTGCAATACTTTCCTAATAAAAATGTTTCAGATGCCTTATGGTTTATTCAACAGTTGTTCTACATTTATTGATAATATAGGTCCCAATCTAATATTCTGTAATGTAATCAATACTAAAGCTAAATACTATCCATAGATTATAATTCTTCTTTATTTTTCTTCTTCTCTGGTTGATGTGGTAGCCAAAGCATCTATGTTGATGTGGCAGTAACCACAGTTCCAGGATCACCAGCTCGGGCTGGAGGAGGGACTTTACCTAGATATTCTTAGTTGTTAAAGGGACTGGAGGAGGGACTTTACCTAGATATTCTTAGTTGTTAAAGGGATTGGAAGCGTAATTTCAAACATGACCATCCGGCCTCTATCAAGATAGCAATGCCGGATTTGCCTGAGGAAGGAAGAAAGGCCTACCACAACAATTTCTCTTCCAAGCCACATTCTCCTCATTTTCTCATCCAAACCACCTCGAAATCCTCGTCCTTATTTTCTTTAATCCTCCAAGATATAACTATTTTAAAGAATCGGGCCATGTTAGAGTAAATTAAGTATGAATTTTTTGTAAATCGAATAAAAAAGTTTCAATTGAATTAAAGATTTAAAGTTTACTGTCTTTAAAAATGTTCACCTTTTTTTCGCGCATTTTAGATATTCTTGGTGTTGAATACCGCAAATAATTCTGAGTTAATAGAAATTCAATCTTTTTTGTTAACTATAGTGAAAACCATAGAATTTTTCCGGATGGTTCCATGGGGGAAATTATAGGCAGAGGTATGCTGAATATTTTGCTATTTATTTTATATCGAGAAGGTTTGCCATTACAGAGGCAGAAGAAATTTTACCGAAATAAAGTTTTACATCATTCTCATGGATTGGAAGATTCCAACAACATGATATAATCATTGCAATACTTTACTCCATCCATATTTTATGCCATAACGATGGCGGGATTTAAAAAAAAATAGTTTTATCTTCAAGAATTGGAAACTTTTTAACACAAAATAATCAAAGGACAAGAATTCCGAGGTGGCTCGGACGAGAAAATGAGGAGAATGTGGCTCTGAAGAGAATATGTTGTCGCTTGCCTTCCTCCCCTCGCCTGAGTATTCAGTATGGTTTCCATCTAAATTTTCCTCTAACGAATTTCGCGAAAATGAGCGAACGAAATTCGCTCATTTTTGTTAAATTTTTTTTACGAATTTTTAATGTATTTTTGACGCAATTTTCTATCTCATTTTATCAAAATTTTCATTTTCACAAAAATTTTCGTTGAATTTTCGTTCGATAAAATTTCCATTTCACATCAAGAAGATTGTATTTTTGCGAATAAATAAAATTTTGCAGGAAAGGTTGAAAATTTCGAATAAATTTTGATCTAATTTCGCGAATTTAACGAATCTCGCAAATGTTCGCGAATTTAGCCAAAATTTCGAACTAATTTCCATCGAATTTTGCAAATTTCGCGAAAATTTTGAACGAATGAACCCAAGTTTTCGTTTACATTTTCGTTAGCTGAACAAAATGTTCAATACCCTTGAAACCTTGATCTTATCAAAAATGTGGAAGATAATGTCTTCTTTCTGACTAGGAATGTGTTATGTTCTGATAATTTCTCAATGATTTCTTATAAATAAGAAATGTGCAAGTCAAGTTTGCTTAGAAAAACAAAAGAAAATAGATTATCAGTAGAAATAAACAAAAACATGGATATCTAATTCATAGTTGATCAGACTAAGCTTTCAAGGGTACCGTTGGAAATTGCCATCTTTGCATGGGGTATCACTTCAAAATACGCTTACAGTCCCTTTGACTCAAATAACAAATAATAATCAAAATTGTTATTTAGTTATATAATAAATAACTATTTGGTTGCCTGGTCAATGATTTGGACGGGATATTTTGAGATTAAAACAGTTGTTTTAGTTATGCAGTGTAAAGTGGTCAGCTGGAAGAGCTAAGTGCAGTATCAAATTTAAATAAATTTGATTTAACGCTTTAACATCCAGGCTCCAGGACAAAAAATATGTGTCAAAAGATGTCTTTAAGGAAGAATAATGTGGTCACTTCGTTATATACAAACTTTACTTACCAATTCCCAGACATGGAAACTCCTTGGCAATTGCCTCTCGGTACTTAGGATGCGCAACGGCAAACACAACTGGATTCAAAGAGCTGTTTGTTTTCACTAGGAAAAAAAATTGAAAAGAAAAGTATTTTAGCCTCAAATTAATCGTTTCATAGTTTAAAAAAAAATCTTACGTAGTAGAGATGGAAGTCCAGCAAATATTGGTGTAAGAGTATCATAACTGCCAGATAATCCGATCATTACAACTATAGCATAGGGAGACCACGTGGCTATCCATAGGAGAACATTGGTGATTGAAACCTTAAAAAGACCATTGCTAATTAAACATTATCATTTTTGAAATAAAAGAAAATATAGGTCTTTAAATGCACACGGTAAGTTAAACTTTTTAAGTAGTCGTTCGTTACTGAGAAAAGAATGGAATGTTCCGTTCGTTATTGAGAAAAGAACGGAATGTTCCGTTCGTTATTAAGAAAAAAACGGAATGTTCCGTTCATTATTGAGAAAAGAACTGAATGTTCCGTGTGTTATTGAGAAAAGAGCGGAATGTTCCGTTTGTTATTGAGAAAAGAACCGAATGTTCCGTTCGTTATTGAGAAAAGAACGGAATGTTCCGTTCGTTATTGAGAAAAGAACGGAATGTTCGTTCGTTATTGAGAAAAGAACAGCATGTTACGTTCGTTATTGGGAAAAGGACGTAATATTCCGTTCGATATTGAGAAAAAATAAATGTTCCGCTCGTTATTGAGAAAAGAACGGAATGTTCCGTTCTTTATTGAGAAAAGAACATGATCTTTTTTCTTTTTTTAAGTTACCGTTAACAATCTCGAATTCTGTAATGGCGTAATAGAAGATATTTCAAAAATCGTAACAAGCGGTTAACTTTTTATTCGTGTGAATTTAGCGAACAAAATTTGAAATGTTTTAAAAATTTGGGGAAAATACGTGACCAATCCCATTCAGTTACCTTCGCAATCTTAACCTCCATATTTTCAGAGCTGTCAGACTTTTGTCGTAGAGATTCAACATTCATCTTTTTTGCCTGTTCCTTCATTGCTCTTTCATGGGAGATGACAGCTTTGGCAATCTATCCAGTAGATTAAATAATTAAAGGGACTCTACAGTAGATTAAATAATTAAAGGGACTGTACAGTAGATTAAATAATTAAAGGGACTGTACAATAGATTAAATAATTAAAGGGACTGTACAGTAGATTAAATAATAAAAGGGACTGTACAGTAGATCAAATAATTGAAGGGACTGTACAGTAGATTAAATAATTAAAGGGACTGTACAGTAGATTAAATAATCAAATTACCTGTGAATAGTAGAATACAACACCAATAAGAGGCAGAAAGAAGTGAGTAATCAGCGTGTATAGAACAAAACTCTTGGCGTTCCAATCCTTAAAAAAAAGATGTTTTATGTTCTTGAAATTATAGTTGCCATTAAAAATAATTATACTTAAAACTAAAAATATTTAAGATCCAGTCACAGGACAAGCAAGGCATGTGCGGCAGATATTACTTTTAAAGGGAGTGTTCGCGAAAATGAAAGGGGGTATAGGCTTAATGCGATAAAAAAAACGCTTTTGATAGCTACTAATCTTACTTCTATCTGTTGTGTCTATAAGGAGAAAATTGTGAAAAACGTCTCGTACCGAAGAACGTAGCGCCCATAGAAATTGAGGAAATTGCAACATACGACTTAGACCGTAAAAAAGATCAATTTAATTTCAAACAAATCATTCAGATATTACACCTATAGTCATCGATTATGTTTCGCCACATTTGTATATAGTTTATTTTATAATATTTTATTTTTTTAGAAAACGTTTTAACGGATTTCGAAAAATGTGAGTGGTGCGCGGCATTCTTAGATAGTTACGCAAGCGACAAGAGAAATAATCAAATTCAAAACAAACAAAAAAGAAAAATTTAAAAAGTCAGCTTCATGTTGCATATTCTTGTGGAGGAGCGTGCTACTCAAATTTAGGCTGATACACAGCAAGAATAAAGAAATACAAATTGCATTTTATCAACTATGATCATAAATGCATATTACCTTTCGGGGGGGGGGTTATTATGAAGATAATACCGTGATACCCCGAAAACTCGACTTTTAGACTCAAGATATGAGTTTAAATTGTCCAATGAACATAAAGCACTGCAAATGTGTAATTTAAACAGACCCATTTAACTTAATAAGTGATTTAATAAGTGTCAAGTCAAGCAATGTACTTTGTATCAACATCAAATATACTTCAGTATTGCTTTAATGTCGTCTTACTATTCTACAGTTTTCTGGTTATCACTGTCAAACACAATTAAATAAAGTGAAAAAGGGTAAACAGAAAAGAAGAATATTGGAGAAAATGATTATCTGCTTTTTAAACATTTATCAATTAGTAGTTGCTTAAAAAATGTAACTTGTAAAAAATATGAAAATAAAAAATATCAAATTTGTTTTGAAAAAGCAAACCCGGTCACCGAATTTCCTAATCTGTATTTTCTATGCATTTTCCATGCACTTTTTCCATGTACAGCCTGCAGACTTCTTATATAGGACAATTTGAGCTGGCCATGGGATTGGGTACCCTGGAGTAACATAATACAAAAAAATCTAATTTTTTTTTCTCTTCAAAATATTTTTTTTATTCCACGAGCAACGCCGGACCCTTCAGGAAGTGTTTATTAAACTATTTAAAGTTATAATTTGAGTATAAAAGTAGTTTTCCTATTCCAGATCGTATTCTGGTTCTCATTGTATAACGAGTTACCTCCTTTATATAATCATAGCTGCAGGTGATAAGGAATCCTTCAAGGGAGTATGCTCCCCAGCCTAGAAAGGGTCCACTAGTAGACAATATAGCGTAGATCCAGACCGTGGATATCATCAAGAAAGCCTGAAATTAGTCCACTATAAAAGGACAGTAAGCGTAATTTCAAATGGCACAATCCATGCAAAGATGACAATATTGAAGTCAAACCTTATAGAAATCCAACGTATAGAAACAGCTACGTATAGCAACATGGCGTATTTTCCGGGAGAACATTTTTTTTAAATTTTTGAGAAATTAAACGATTTTGTAAAACATTGTAGCTTATTATTATCATTATCATTACCATAATTTCTATTATTTAAACGTACCCTAGACATTAAAGGAGCAAAATAGTTTAATGCGTACATTTGTACTGTTTAAGGTCCCCCAGATTTTATTATGTACTGACAACATAAATGAATGATAAGGTGGTTATACATGAAATTGCGTGTAACTATTAAAAAATATAGTTTATAAAAATGCTATCTACAGTTTTATTTTTAGAAAAAAAATTCTTAAAAGTATAAAAAATGTTCTCCAGTAATGCTAATATGATTTCATAAAATTCCGTTTTACCATTTAAATAAAAGGATTTTATGAAAATTATATCTGCTTTACACTGATTATTTAATTTCTTAAAAATATAAAAAATGTTCTCCCGGAAAATACGCCTTGTTGCTATACGTAGCGGTTTCTATATGTTGGATTTCTTTATGGTTTGACACCGACAATATTTCATGATGTTTAACAAGCTTGCCATAACAGTTTTAAGTTCTGATCATTTCTTTATGTTTTCCTGTAGCGTAAATGCACAATTCACTTTGTAGAGAAACCACAAAATAATAATTGGAAAATAAAAATTCGTATCAGAGTCGCGTATCAGAAGCCGGGAAATTTGAAATTTTGCGCGCCATTTAAGATTAATATACAGAAACGGGAAGACGCTCTAATTTTGAAAACCCGCTTTTTGATTTTTCTGTACTTTATCCAAAAAAAGTGGATTAAGCAAGAAATTAAAGAGTTCACATTGGATATTCGGATTAAGGGGGAGTGATTAAAGGTATCCAATTCTAAAGTTCCCAGCTCATGATTAAGGATATCCAATTTTAGCTCAGTTCCTTTATGTTTTACTTGTATCTAAAAGTAACTAATTACAATAAAACCGTTAGTTTATGACGAGACAAGTTAAATTGGTTTTTATTTTAAAATGAAAAATTTGTGGCCACCATGTTTCAAAAATATATAATATTTTTCACATTTTGTTTGTAACAAATCAAAAGTGCTTGCACTGTTGACTTACCTTCATTTTGGTGATCTTTTTTGCAGATAATCCTTTAACAATGACGTTGTATCGATCGTAGCCGATCATGATCATTGTGAATATCGATACTGTTCCGCAAACTCCTCCCAACATTGCAAAAAGTTTGCAATCTAAACAAATTAGGTTTAGATGTACGCAAAATACTGCAAATTGCATAATGAACATTTTCACATACAAAGCATAAGATCAAGAATTTAATGCAAGGAAAGTTAATTGCAGTTGCGTATACTCTGCGTACATATTGAAACCAGTTCTCTCTGGGCGGAATTTGTAAACAAGAATAGATGACTCAGTGTTCGTTTAGTATCCGAGGAGGTTAAAACTAAAAGCATTGAATTTTAATAATTTTGATAATTCACATAATAGTTTCCTATGACCAGAATATTTCATTGATTATATATGTGAATTAGATGGATCCCATGTCAGGCTTTGACATTCGTCTTGTGTTTACATTACCGCCCAGTGACAGTATACTGCAGCACAAAAGATGCGTACACCTCTGAAATAACTTTCCTTGCATTAAATCCTTGGCTAAGATTAAAGATGACTAAACTCATGATTATTGATTGGGTAACGAAAGACACAAGATTAAGTTGCAGGGAATCAGAATATAAGGAAATAAACAGAATGAATTCGTACAGTCGTCTCTGACATCTCATCCTTTGTGGGTAGCCCTGTATATGTTACATTTATTACAAGTCATTTCATGGTGTCCCATTGAAGAGCTCAAAATAAAAGTTGATGAACTACCAAGCTCTCCATTAGTTCCTCATATGTTAAACATCAACAAAGATGCACTGGTCGGCGTATATATCAATACAATGAAGATAACTTTTCTATCTAAGTTTTGGTTGTTGACAATATTTTTTAAATTACAAGTTTACAATTAAACAAAGACAAGTTGTTAATTGACTGCTTCTCTTTGTTTCCATATTTATGTGTATCCACGCTGTTTATAAGCATGATTAAAAATTTAAATCGAAAGTCGTCTTCATTGTAATGATATTTACGAAGACGACTGTTTATTATTTTCACTTTTGCTCTTTTAAGATTAATAATTAAAAGTTAAAATTAAAACACAATAGAAATGCGAACCCTGACCATATTTAAGAAATGCCAAGGCTAGGTTCAAGTATATGCTTTTATAACAAATATTTACTGAATCATATCTATAGATTAGATAAAGATTGGCGAGAATATTATGAATAATCTAAACTCTCTGCCATTCTATTATTAAGATTCTTGTTTAAAGCTAATATTCGTCTTTTTCAAGAAAAAAATTAGAAACATAGATTTTTATTTAAAATATAATTTTTACTTACTAAGTACACCCCACATCCAGTAGCGTTGGTAGAAAATGTTTATTCCAACAGGCAACCCCTTAACAAATATTCTCACTTTCAGGTTTTAGGTGTGCTCTCTCATTTTTATCTCCCCGGATAGTTTTAATGTTTACTGTCAAAATTGCATAGTTGCCGCACGGCACGGGCAGCCGTAGTACATTTGAATTTCCGAGCCGGGTCAACCTTTCTGCGGTCCCAGTTTGTACTGTACCTAGCTCTATGGACAGGACTAGCCGGTGCAATATGGTTGACGCGGTCAGACTTTATGCTTCATATAGGTTGAATTTACTTTTACTAAAAGGGCAGATTTGCGTGACCGATGATGTCAGTAATGGGTCCATCAAAAACTTTCAGATAGAATATTCTAAGATTTAAATAACAAAAGTTTACACCATCAGGTTACAAAAAAACTTACTTGGATTGGAAAATATTTGAGTTTGTGTTAAGAACTACTTTCTTACATGAGTCAGCATCATGATGAGATCCGAGATGGCCAGGTTGACGATAAACATGTTGGAGGTAGACCTCATTTCTTTCCGCTGCAAGTATATACAGTAGGTTTTTAGTAAATGTTTTGAAGTAAATGCATAAAAATCCGCCAAAAAATAATCAGAAATTCGCGAAAATTGGATCAATTCAAACATTAGAAATGGAAGTTTTGATACTTTACAGAGTTTTGGCCCTTTATGGAGACCTGGTACAGGTTATGCTTATGATCAAAACACTATATTTTTGACTATGATGGATAAGATGATCGATATGAGAACATACAATTCTAAAATCTTAACTTTTTATGTGGTTAGTATATAAATGTCCCTTATATATAGTTTTAAATATTTGAACAATTTTAGATCTAAAAGACTGATACATTTTGCACAGCATGCTTTTACTTCGTTAAATTTACTAAATGTCATACTTGTTATGTTTATTTTTACACCGTTAATAAAATCCCCTTAAATTTTGTTATGGAACTTTTCTAAAATATTGTATTTGCCCAACAGAATATTGGGAATAACAATATTTATTTCTTATTTTACAATGTCTGATCAATGGGTCAATTTAAAGTCTTTGATGACCCAAATTTAAATAGAGAAAAATGTTTTGTCGTAATAGTAATTAAAAATGAAATGCTATTTTTGATGTTTTCTCATATTAAAAATGATTAAATTATAAAATCAAATCTAAGAATACTACCTTTAGGAAAATGTAGATAACACAACCGTTGCCAAGGATACTTATAAGCAGGAGGAAAACAAATCCCAGTGCAAATACATGCAGGATCATTGGATGCTGATAACAAAAATTATATAAAAGTTTAAAATTAAAGGAACTGTTTGCGTAATATGAATTGACCCTACATGCATTAATCTGATCAAAAATGCTTAAGAAACCGTCGTTTTCTGGACTAATTCTAATATTTTCTCTATTGCTTCTTTTAAGCAAGACATGCGTGAGCCACTTTGCTATGAAACTGAGGTATAATCTAGTTCATATTGAACTAGACAATACTTTTAACCCTATTCCTGCTGGGGGGGGGGGGTAANGCCGGCCAAACGACTGCACCGAATGGGATGACATTTTTTGTGGACAATCATGGGTGGCCGGAGGTGTTATAGGCTAAATAAATCGAAGGTTTTTTTTCAACATTTTTTTTTTCTTTCAACGGGCCCTTCAGCTAGTTTCAATCTAAAGTCATTTTCCAGTGGAACACATTGTATATCAAATAGATATCATAAATATATAAATACCTTAACATATGCTTAATATCGATCCATGAAACATGACAGTTGGTGAATAGTTTTAAATGCCTTTTTTGTGGTTTGTTAGAATCTTTGAAAGCAATGATAATTATAAAAGATATTACAATGTCGTCATCAATTGCAGAAAAATTTATAACAAAATAAAATATATTTTGAGTTTAAGATTTTTAACGAAAAAAAACTGCAAAAAGTATTTAATTTCTAATACAGACATTCAAAACTATTCACCAACTGTCATGTTTATGGGACGGTATATTTATATAAAACCTGGTGGATAGAAAAGATTATAGTTTTCGTCCAGGTATATTCCATCTTTTAACGGCCAAGTCATCTTGGGTCTAAAATATGCATTAATCATATTTTTTGTATTGTATAGAATTATCTTTTAACTCATATTATGTCTTCCATCTTGTCTTGTGGAACAATTTGGCAATTTTGAAAATGTCTTCATTTTCATAAATTTCATAATTTCGATCAAAATTTTAATTATTTCGATTTGCTCTTAAAAGTTGGCTGAAATGTATTTTTAATTAAATTTAACGAAATTTGTAAAACGTTTTACAGATATTTTGCATTTGTTTTTGCTTTGGTTTAAATATACTAGTGTCGATTAGTGTCTAAAAAATGTAATTACAAAATTACAAAAAGATTTTAAACAGCTTGGACATACATAAAAAAGGAAACAAAAGGAAATCTGTCAATTTACAGTTTTTTTGAAATGTTTAATTGTAATTGTAAACTTGTTATCTGAAAAAGCATATTAGAAATCAAAACCTAATTAGAAAGTTGTATTTATGATAAACGCCGACAACTGTATTTACAATAATAAAAATATGCATGCGTTAAAAATCAGAAAACGTACCTGTAATTATATACTTTGAAATATAAAAAGTTTTGAATAAGAAGGATGGAGGAGTACTCTTTTTGAACAAAAGTTGAGTACTGGAGGTAAGTACATGACTGTACAGATTTATATTTGAAATCTTAGGGATTAAATTGGAATGCAAACCAAGCAAAAATGCAGATATTGGCTTCTTTACGGTATCAAAAACAATTCTTTTAAACTTGTAATCTTATTCTTGAAACTTGGCAGGGGTTTCAATTCTTATCAAATCGATCCACCATGAATTTTTTTAAATCAGTTTTATATTTCTTTTATTTTTTTTCTCATGCTTGAAAATACTTCCATGCAAACATTAAAATTGCAAAATAATTTTTGGATTTTTTTATAGTACCCATTCCAAAACCTTTAATTAAGATTTTTTCCTTAAATTTTTTTATTTTATGTTTTACGCCCCTGGTATATTGTAGTATGCTTCCTTATATATCTTGATGAATAAAGGGCTTCAGGGGGGGGGATAAAAAGACTGGATTAAGCGTAGAGAAGGACGTCAGAAGGAGCCCGGGGGGGGGGGATTGTACACAAAAAGGTGGAATTTGTAAATAAATATTGTAGAATTTTTTAATGGAGATAGGGGTTTTGTAAACGAGGATAGGGGATTTTGTAAACGGGGATAGGGGAATTTGTGAATGCGCTCATGATGGGGGATATTTGTGAACGGAACGGGGATTTTGTACTCATAGATTTGGTAGAAAGGGGGTAAGGGAGGAGGTTTAACAAATAGAGTTTTGTAAACAGAGGAGGGTGGGGGGAGGGGTTGATTTTCACAAGTTACATTTTTTTTATAAAAAGTGTATGCCAGGGGGATGATAGTTCACTACATGTGTACTCAGTTAGCTTTACAGTACACTTACAACTAGCTGTTTACTTATAATGATATACTATTGGTTAGGCCAGAATCAACTTATGATAAACAAATATGCAGTACGCTCTCCGTATAGTTTATGGCCTGTAAAATTAGTAAAGGATCAGCGTACATCATCACTCTATACACTATAACCTCGTTTGTGTATGCTGAATAACACAGAAATGTGCAAGAATGTAAGGCAAGGAAAGTCAATTGCGGTTGTGTATACTCTGTGTACATATTGAAACCAGTTCTCTCTGGGAGGAATTTGTAAACAATAATAGATGCATCAGTGTTCGTTTAGTATCCGAGGAGGTTAAAAGCATTAAATTTTGATAATTTTGATAATTCACATAATAGTTTCCTATGACCAGAATATTTCATTGATTTTTTATGTGAATGATGGATCCCATGTCAGGCTTCGACATCCGTCTTGTGTTTACATTAGCGCCCAGAGACAGTACACTGCAGTACTAAAGATGTGTACACTTCTGAAATGACTTTCCTTGCCTTACATCTTTGGAAATGTGAAAAATAAAAATAATTAGATGAGAAAATAGTTCAAAACTCTTATCAAAACGATGAGAATAACGCTTATCCAGAAACTATCCTAAACTATTCTTATCTATCTAAAACTATCCTAAACTATCATTAACTATCCTAAACTATCCTTATCTATCTAAAACTATCCTAAACTATCTAAAACTATCCTAAACTATCTTAAACTATCCTTATCTATCTAAAACTATCCTAAAATATCCTAAACTATCCTTATCTATCTAAAACTATCCTAAACTATCCTAAACTATCCTTATCTATCTTAAACTATCCTAAACTATCCTAAACTATCCTTATCTATCTAAAACTATCCTAAACTATTCTGAACTATCCTTATCTATCTAAAACTATCTTAATCTATCCTGAACTATCCATATCTATCTAAAACTATACTAAACTATCCTAAACTATCCTTATCTATCTAAAACTATCCTAAACTATCCTAAACTATCCTAAACTATCCTTATACTATCCTAAACTATCATAAACTATCCTGAACTATCCTTATCTATCTAAAACTATCTTAAACTATCCAGAGATGGAATTTAAAGAATTGGAGTTGCGGTTTAAATCCGCCAAAACCAGGTTCAAATTAAGCGCCGGTGTAAATCTTGAAACATTTGATACAATTTTAAGTGGAACCAACCATATTTAAACCACGGCTTAAATTTAAACCGCCGCTTAAATTCTTTAAATTCGGCCACTGAACTATCCTTATCTATCTAAAACTATAATAAACTATCCTAAACTATCCTAAACTATCCTTATCTATCTAAAACTATCCTAAACTATCCTAAACTATCCTAAACTATCCTTATCTATCTAAAACTATCCTAAACTATCCTTATCTATTTTAAACTATCCTAAACTATCCTAAACTATCCTGAACTATCCTTATCTATCTAAAACTATCCTAAACAATCCTGAACTATCCTTATCCATCTAAAACTATCCTAAACTATCCTAACTATCCTGAACTATCCTTATCTATCTAAAACTATCCTGAACTATCATAAACTATCCTTAACTATCCTTATTTATCTAAAACTATCCTAAACTATCATAAACTATCCTAAACTATCCTTTTCTATCTAAAACTATCCTAAACTATCATATACTATCCTGAACTATCCTTTTCTATCTAAAACTATCCTAAACTATCATAAACTATCCTGAACTATCCTTTTCTATCTAAAACTATCCTAAACTATCATAAACTATGCGGAAAAATGAGATTTTTTAAATTTCTTTATCGATCTCAGGCAATTTTGAAAGCACTACATTCTGGAAATGTAAAAGAATCTTGACAAATGGATGCCGCACATTTTTTTAGAGATCAATGACGACCTTTTAGTCGTCTCTTTCAACTGTCATTATTCGTGAACACCCTGACATTAAAGTTTTTAGAGATCAATGACGACCTTTTAGTCGTCTCTTTCAACTATCAATATTCGTGAACACCCTGACATTTAAGTTTTTTAGAGATCAATGACGACCTTTCAGTCGTCTCTTTTAACTTTCATTATTCATGACCACCCTGACATTCAAGTTTTTTGGAGATCAATGACGACCTTTCAGTCGTCTCTTTCAACTGTCATTATTCGTTAACACCCTGACATTCAAGCTTTTTTAGAGATCAATGACGACCTTTTAGTCGTCTCTTTCAACTATCATTATTCGTGAACACCCTGACATTTAAGTTTTTTAGAGATCAATGACGACCTTTCAGTCGTCTCTTTTAACTGTCATTATTCATGACCACCCTGACATTCAAGTTTTTTAGAGATCAATGACGACCTTTTAGTCGTCTCTTTTAACTTTCATTATTCATGACCACCCTGACATTCAAGTTTTTTGGAGATCAATGACGACCTTTCAGTAGTCTCTTTCAACTGTCATTATTCGTTAACACCCTGACATTCAAGCTTTTTTAGAGATCAATGACGACCTTTTAGTCGTCTCTTTCAACTGTCATTATTCGTGAACACCCTGACATTCAAGTTTGCCTCTATGTTATGTTAGCCGCCAGATGTAATACTTGTTTGACAAGCATTGTGTTTTCACTTTAGTTAAGATGTGAATTAGAAAAATTACAGTGAAAGTTAATGTCTGGGTGAAAGCTTCGAAAGATGTTTTTACTGCATGATCTGTAAACTGCTGACGGTAATTATTTAGATTTTTATCATATTCCTAGGAATTATCAAACTTGATAAGCAAAGCAGAGAAGATCTTCCTCTAAATGTTTGACATTTTTGACAGAAATCAAACATATTTACATAATTTAATTTTCAGGTTGATTTAAAGTTTACTATTCTTACTCATCAAAATTAGTCAGATTATATTCAAAATTCTTTTTCAGGCTTTAAAAGGCATTTAAATAAATTTAGATATATCAAAAGAAAGGTTTAAGTTTCAATGAAAGTTATGCAAAAATTCAGTTAGGTCTGAAATCAATGTTTCGAACCTTTTCTAATTGATAAAATTTCTTATTTTTCAACTTTTAATTGTGGCTTTATCTGTGAGCATTTTCTCTTTGTACAGTAAATTTTTTTTTTTATTTGCGGAATTCAGAATATTTTTTTGTGCATTATCAAAATTTTTCTAAATTAAATAATTTAAGATAAAAATATTTTAAGATTACATACTTAAAGTCTGATTGGCCATAAATCTTCCCTGGGGCCAAGTGAGGTCCCACACAAAATTTGGGCCTGATCGGTCCAGCCGTTTGGGCGTTTATTGGGTACAAACAAAGAGACAAATAGACGGACAGACAAGCTAATTTATTTAAACTAGGGTTTTAGGGCGCTTCGCGCCCATCTTCTATTTTGGTTGTGAACATGTTCTTTTTGTTTACATTTTAAAACAAAGAAGAAAATAATTTTGCGGATTTTTAAAAAAAATTGGGGGTTTTTCAGGATTTTAATTTTTTTTACAAAATTAAAAACCTTTAAAACACATTTTTTTAATTTTTATTATTCATAAACCTTCCCTGTGGTCACGTGATGTCCCACAAGAAATTTGGGCCCGATCGGTTCAGCCGTTTTGACGTTTATTGGATACAAACAAACAAACACCCAGACAGACGACAAGCCAAATTTACATATAGATTGTATTTTAGTGCTGGGCTTCTGTCTGCCAATCTATAGCAAACTGAAAAAAGTTAAACTTGATTTTTTCATTTCATTTGGGGTTAATTGCGTTTAGGCAGCCTTAAAACTATTCTCTTCCTCTCAAATTTACCTTTGTTGACAAATCTTTAAAAAAATGATCACATACGTAGTATTTCCAAGATTTATTTTTGAAGGGAGTGACCGGCTATGTAAGGTAGTTGAACTGAGTATGCAGTGATGTGGAAAACTTCTTTCGGATTCATTTGAGACATATTAAATTTTTCAAAGATCTGTAAATCCTGAGTTTGAGCGCAAAGTCGACGTTCAATATTCCTACTTTGGGGGTGGATACGTTTTCAGAATTAGTTTTTTTAAATTATTAAATAAAGACAACGAAAAATAAAGTAAAAATTATACAGTAATCTAATTAGATGGTTACCTAACATAACCTAACATATTTCTCAAAAGAAATTTGTCAATAAATCAATGCTAAAATCGATTATTTCGTTTTCATTATTTTATTAAATTTCTTATCTTCTTTGAATTTATTCGCAGATTTCTTCAAATTCTTTAAATGTCGTCTTTTCCATAATAATTCTAGAAAATCTGCGAAAATCTTTGTGAATAATGAGAAATTAGAAACTAGTAATTGAACTAAGATTAATTTTTATTTTCTCAACATGTTCTTATACATGATGTCTGTAGTTTATTGTAGAACTTTTTTACATTTTATGTAAAAATGTAGATTAACTTCCTCCTACGATTGTTACCTTAAAGGGACTGAAAGTGTAATTTCACTTTCAATTTACTTGCCATTCTAAGAGGGCAATCTTCGATTCACAACGGTACCCTTAAAAGCTTTGTCTGATTGAGTATGAATAAGATGATTTCAATATTTTTGTTTCTTTAAACTGTTTATTTTCATTTGCGGGTTCTCTGCAAAAGTGATTAGTGATTAGTTAGAAACTTTCAGAAATACTTCTTTTGGAATCAGAAAAACTTCTTTTATTTTTTTTCCCGGATGAAGTTTTCAATGGTACCTTTGTTAATCAAGCATTGCCATTTTGTTTGGAGGGTCTGCACATGAAACTAGGCTTTATATACTTCCGCTGACACTTAATTGTTGAAAATTAATTTCTTCCTGCTAATTGTGATTTTTAACGTCTTCAGAAATATCATCATTTATAAAGGGAATTTAGTCTTTTCCATAAAATCATGTTTACAATATCTTTGCAACCTAATGGTGCAACCTAACAGAATTCATGTATATGGTCTACAAAATTGGGTTGCAAGAATAAAGGGATAAAAAATCAGAGTTTGTGGAAAAACTCCTTTTTCCTTTTTCCTTGATATGGTTTAGAAATTATTTATTTTTTCTTCTCTGTGTTTTTATCTTTATAGAGTCCCCCCCCCCACCGCCCCCATCCCGTAGCTGGCATACCCGTGAATCTGATGAGATTGAGGTGACTAGTTTCTATCAAACTATCCCAGGCACAGCATCAAACATCCTCCACAATTATCCTTCCTCGGAGAACTTCTTTTTAGAAGTTAAACTTTTTCACAATTTTCTTCCAGCAAATTGTGTGTAATCATCCATTGTGAATATATTTCATGAAAAGAGATGATTTCACGAATCACCAACAGAAATTAGGAAGGTAGAGATTGATTTTTTAAGTATAGCACTGATGTATTTTGGAAATGTTCATGTAACCTAATCTTTCTTCTGTTTAATTATTTTCACAAGTACGCAAAACTCAGAAATAAGATATTGAATCAATGTTTATCATTTAGGAATCATGCAATTTCGATTTAAATGAAGACATGTTTTTTTTCATTAATTACATTTTATAATTCATATCATGGACACTGGACAGGGCTGTGTACTAAACTAAGGATATAAACTAATCCCAATTGTCAAGTTTTTTAGAGAAAGGTCATTTCGCAAGAGTTTCTTTACTCACTTAATTAACATCAAACTATTTTGAATAAATCTCTGAAAATATGCTGCTAATTGCAAATATCTTGATATGGGTTCTCATCACTTAAACACGTGTATGCCTGATTAGGGGGCTTGCAGGGCTCATCAAATTTTTACAATTCCGTTTCTTTAGCTCTGATTGTCCGTACTATTCGTGAAGGATTTTATTAAAAATCATTTGGAAAAGTTGAAATTGTATGTGATAAAAAGTTTAGAAAGTTTAAAAAGTCTCAAATTTTTTTGATATTTAGATTTGAAAAAAATTTGTGACTTTTTTGATTTTTTAAAATCCAAATTTAGAATTTAAAACCTAGAGACAACTTTATTCCTACATATTTCAGCTAAGAGAGGAGGGATATCCTGGCAACTGGCATCTTAACCTTTGTATTTAATTCTAATAATTTCTCCATTTTAGAAATGTGCAAAACACTTTTGCAGAAAATCCACAAACAAAAAAAATAGTTTTTAAAAAAGCATGGATATCTAATGCATACTTAATTAGACAAGATAGAATACATCGTTTAGACTTTAAGCTAAAAGTATGCATTTCTAACACCAAATATAATTTTAAAGCAACTTTGTGTCAAATAAATGGAAAGCGATATCTTGTGACATTTTCGTTTTACCAATTATGATTTTGCGTAAAAATGCATAATTCTTTTCATTACCAACGTCTTTGAAATTTCTTATCTAAATGATATGGGTTTATTTTTGCTCTAAATTCCTGTTACAACATTCAGACTTGAAAATATCATAATATCAAATTTCTATAAACACATATTCTCAACCTTATCCAAGTTGCTTCATATGAAAATGCTTTCTCCCTAATGTAGGAAACTTCTTTTTCTTTTTAACTGTAATGTGCAGGGTTACCCTGAAAGGATGAGACTGTAAAGACGACCTGAAACTCTTTAAATCTGATGTCAAAGTTAAATTAAATCTAGAACACCACCTTGTAATGGCTTATTAAATGAATAGGCAAAAAAAGAGACAAGTTTACAATTGCAGAGATTGATTAATATAAGGAAACAGACACTTAAAATTGTGCGCAAAAGTCGTCTCTGAAGTCTGATCATTTATGACGTTACACCCTACATATAACCTACTTCAAAGAAGAAAAGAAAAGAGGGAATTTTTTAACAGAAAAACTAATTTTAGTTTAACTTCAAGTATGACATGGTGCCCTGAATAATAATTGCTGTCTACTGGAAATTGTTTTATTGCAACATTCTGGACATCTGTTTGTGGATGGAAAAGTAAAATAAAATTGAAATTTTTAATAATTTATCTATCTTGAAGCTAATCTCATAATTTGAGGTTTCAACCCCGCAACAATAGAAGAGTTTTAATCCCATAGTTTTTAGTTTCTTTTTGTATTTCTCAAAACTAACTAACATTTGTTTTTAGAAAAAAGAAATGTTAAAAATAGCGAAGTGTTAGTTTTAAGCCTTTGAAAACGTAAAAAAAGATCAAACCTATAGTTTTGAACGAAAAACGATCGTTTTCGTTTAAATTTTCTCGGATCGAAGTCAGGTTTGTAGATTCAAATTTTATTTTTCATTTAAATATCCTAAATTTGTCGTTTTTATTTCCAAAACGACTGTTTTCATTCCAAAACGTCGTTTTTATTCTCAAACGATCGTTTTCAAAACTATCATTTTTATTCTAAAACGATCGTTTGTATTCCAAAACGACATTACGTTTCTAGAACGATCGTTTCGTGTTTTTCTTTTTAACAACTATCAAAACTTAGTTGCATCCCTTTCAAAAACGATCTAGTTTTTAAAAACGATCGTTTCGTTTTCAGATATTTTTTTCATCGCTAACAAAACTTAACGAATGTTTTACAAAAAGTTAAAACTGCCCATTCCTACCCATATGTGTATCAAAATAATAATACGAAATAATTGAAGTTTAAATATTTGAAGTTTAAATTTCTATTAGAGTTTTTTATAGATCGATATTTATCTGTCTATATAATAGAATGAAACATTCATATATATGTTGCGTATAGCCGTTTTGGCAGAATTTTTTGTGGACATTCATGGGTGGCCGGGGGGTGCTATATATGGCTAAAAAATCAATCATTTTTTTCTCTAAAGTTTTTTCCCACGGGCAACGCCGGGCCTTTCAGATAGTGTTCTATAATTCAAATAAGTCGTTAAAAACATTGGGATTGCTTTTGACATTTTAATGATGAGCATGACACAAAGCTTCAAAATAGCATAACTCGTAGAGAAATTGAGTTGAACTTCTATTAAAGCTTCAGTTTGAACCTGAATTTATGTCTCAAAATCATGGTATAATCTAGCTAACCAAAGAAATTAAATACCTATAGTTATAATCTATGGTTGGCTTCAGAACATAAAACTCAAAAGCATTACTGGCATTGGTGCCACACTGTATAGTTGCACGGTCCAAAACCAAACCTCCGCTTAACCAGTTCAGATTCAAAATGGCAGTTTAACATTTTTGTTGGATGATTTATTTCATCGTTCATCGTACTACTAGGGTTGTTAATCGTTTCGATTTTAGACAAAATCTGCATTAAAAATGAACCCTTCGTTTTGAACTTTCAAAAAGCGAAAAACGATCGTTTTTTGAAAACGATAGTTTTTTTTTTAAATTTAAATTTTTGAAAGAATTTTCGGTAATGAATCTGAGTTGTATGACAATAAGTTTTTTATTTCAGGAAGATAATATTGTGAATGTTGTCTTAACTATATTTTTTTAACGAGACTAATAACCTGAATGTTATCTCACCTCGGATTTTCTCACCAAAAAAATGTATTTTCTCTTTAAAAGTTGTTAACGGTCGTTTAAAAATGGTCGTCGTTAAATGTCGTTAACGTAATCGTTAAAAAATTAATTTAATTCCAAACAAATCATTCAGATATTACAACCTATAATCATCAGTTTTTTTTCGACGCATTCATATAAAATTGATATTTCATAATATTTTTAATCTGAACTGATCTGAGAGTTACTTTTAAAAACATTCATTCCTGTTTCAAGGTTTTTTGTTAGTGAAGACGACATTTTCATATTTAGTGGGAATGTTGGAAAATTATAAAATATCAACTATTTTCGAATGCCTCGAAAAAAATCGATAATTATAGGTTTAATTTCTGAATGATCTGTTTGGAATTAAATTGATTTTTGACGATCTGAGTCGAATGTTGCAACTTTCTGAATTTGTATGGACGCTACGTTTTTTAACAATTTGAATTTGTACGAGTCGTTTTTAACAATTTTCTCCTTGTAGACGCAACAGATAGAAATAGAATTAGTAGCAATCACCATCGAATATTTTTCGACGTAAGTATACCCTTTCATTTCGGATCCTGTCCGTTATTAGGACTTTGTCCTAGATTCTTATACTTTTTAGTCATGGGTTTTTATTTAGCCTAGACCCCCTTTTAATTTTCGAAAACACTCTCTTTAATATATATAGATATTGTAGGTGTGAAAATATATAGATATTGTAGGTGTGCAAATATATAGATATTGTAGGTGTGCAAGTATATAGATATTGTAGGTGTGCAAATATAAAGCTAACTAGTATTCTAAAAACTTGAATTTTCAGAAATGGAGGATGAAAAGTATCTAAATAGTTCTGGGGTCGTTATTGATCCAGATTCTTTCAGCCAAGAAGATTTGTCATTTATTTTGCTTCATATTGCCAAGGTAAATTAGATTTTTCATTTACTGTTTCTCCATATTGCCAAGGTAAATTAGATTTTTCATTTACTATTTCTCCATATTGCCAAGGTAAATTAGATTTTTCATTTACTGTTTCTTCATATTGCCAAGGTAAATTAGATTTTTCATTTACTGTTTCTTCATATTGCCAAGGTAAATTAGATTTTTCATTTACGTAACACCCTTGGGCTTTCTGCCCAAGCGAGTTACGTCCCCTAGATCTTGAAGAGACGACATCTAGAGTTATATCTGTATTGTGATTAATCTATGGTTTTGGCAATTTGAAGTATTTTCGGAAAAGGAAAAATATTTAATTGAACATTCAAATTCTCAATTTAAAATATTGTAATCTCATAGTTTTCAAAAAAAAGTTAGTTTTATGATTTTTTTACCAATTTTCCCAAATTAAATTATCAAGCCTGGTCGATCATTTAATTTTAAACTTTATCTCACTAAAGGAAATGGAAGCGTAATTTCAAGTGACCGTCCATTCTAAGAAGGCACTGCCTGATTTACAACCTTACTCGAAAAATGTTTATTTCGGTGCGTTTCTTTAATGCTTCTTTTAAGCAAGAAAGCGCAATTCACTTTCAAAAATGAAAATAAAAGATTAGAGGACAAAAAGATTGATGACTAATTCTTTTACTTAGATCAGACAAAGCTTTTAAGGGTACCGTTGTAAATCGGACATTGTCGTCTTTACGTAGGGGTTTAAATAAAATCACGCTTACAGTCCCTTTAAGAGCATCAAAGCTATAATCTTGTTTAATATTATGAAAAGATTATATTTGAAAGCTTAATTTAATTAGTTCACCCAATTTATTAACGACCACATCTGAAGTTTGTGAAACTAACTTCAGAACTGCTTAGTTAAACCTTTGAGAAACTTATTATAGTTACTCAACTATAGTTGATGTATTGATTAGCATATAGTTTGGATCGTTTTCATTTTTTTGAAAAACGATCGTTTCGTTTTGGAAAAGACGAAGAAAAAACGTAAGCGAAACGATCGTTTTTGAAAACGATTCTTTGTTAACGACATTTTTTCTTAAACAACTTTTCGTTTTTAAAAGTTTAAAACGAGTGGTTCGTTTTCCACAAGCAATAGTTTTTTCCAAAAACGATAGTTTTTTATCGTTCTTAAAAATGATTAACAAATCTAGAGTTGAAACTGATCTGGATTTTGATATTAAATAAATTGTAAAAAAGATTATTATGTTTGGAGTCTTCAGTGATCAATCTTGGGTTTTCGATGAGATGGTATTTTGGGTCTCCGATACTACCCTAATGATGATGACTTTTACCAAAAGTAAAAATATGTATGAACAAAAGAAATGTAAGGTTTTAAACTTTTTTGTTTGACTAATTTTGGTGGAATAATAATGGGCTTTTTACAATTTGGCCATCTTTACTTTAACACAGAAATTTGGAGCCATCAAAAGAAGTCATAAAATGTCGTCTTGACAATAGTGTAATGGGTTTTATGATATTGCATCCAATTGCTGCTAAGTTTGCTGAAAATTACTTTCGCCGTTTACCCGCACTTGAATGATTGTAGCGGGAAACTAAATGAATTTGTTATTAAAGTCGACCTACTCAAGGCTTGGTTCAGGGGTTCCTGAATTACGATCGGACTCAAGGCTTTGTCCAGGGGTTCCTGAATTACGATTGGACAAACAAACAGACTGAAAAACAGAGATTACGACTTTATCTAAATCTCAGTATTAGTCAGAATAATTAAGTAGTTTTAAAGATCTCCATGTGTAATCAATAATCATTTAATTAAAAAACTAAATATGTACATGCAGCATTCTATTATCAGTTCAGTTCAGAAAACGAAAATCTAGAAAATTCTTTCGATGTCTCTGAAATTCTGAGCCCAAAACTTAAGACAGGGTATCGCTATCAAAGCCAGTTTTAAAACTCAGGTTTTATGAATGGGGTTGGGCAGTTTTGTGGATATCAATATTTTTGTTATGAAATTTTTTTATTTAATTTCTTCATATTCTCCATTTTTTGCCGAATCTTTTAAATCAAAATCTACAAAATGTTAAGACCCCAAAAAGAAAACTCGAGATTTTCGTTCAGCAATATTCTTTTAAATTTCGGTCTCTGTTAACTGTACCTAAACTCCAATAGAATATTCTTAATTCTGAATAAGAAGATTAATAATGAGTTTGTTTATGCAGGCAGTTACTCTGATTTCAATTATCATACTGGCAATATTCTCCAACATACTTGTTATTGCAGCTGTTATACTTTACAGGAGATTAAGGTAAAACGTTTAAACCTAGCTAAGAACATTACCATGGTTCTATAGAGTTCAATAATCATAATTTGAGGCAAATTGATTTAGGTGTTTCTGAGTTATGATTGAGCATACAAAGAAACAAACAGAGATTACTACTTTATAAATATAGATTCATCTTCATTGAGCACATTACTTATTTCATCTATATGTTAAGATATTCGATCCAAAATGGCTGGGCTTTTTTAATTCGCTCATTAATGGTATGAAAAAAATTAACGAAGTGAATAAGCTCATCAGACTTTCGTTTTTAATTTAGAACTTAATTTAACAGTTGAATTAAAGGTTTATTTCGTGTCTTACGGAAGTTGCCGTCAATTAAAATCTTCCTTTTAACTTCGTTAACGGTAGATTTACTGAATATTCGTTAATAAACAATTAAACTTCACCTTTAACGGTTGGGAAGTTTGGTTAACAAGAGTTCTTCTTAATAAAGGAATGGTTTGAGATTAAATTTTCTAAAAATAACGAAATCGAATTTGAAAAAAAAAATCATATTAGGCATCATAAAATTATCGTTCGTGCTTGGTTTCTACTAATTTAAACCAAAAAAAATGAAAGAAATGTGTCGATATTTTTGAAAAGCATCTGATAGTTCTGTCAATTTTCTGTTCGATCTGTTCATGAACGGTTCATTTTGTTCGTTAAGGATTTGAAAGCAATCTTTTTCCCGTTCGTTAATTTTTTATTAATTTTTTAAACTTCCTTAATTGAACGATGCCCAGCCTTTGACAAGGCAGGTGCGTAAAAGCAGGCATTCTCTGCCTAAAAACATGCCTATAATATAAGGCTGATTTTATGTTTGAGAGGGAGTACAATGTGCTTATGAGAGGAAACACTATTAAACGAGAAAGACAAAAATGCCCTCGATGATATTTAGGGCGGGTAAATGGAATTGTAGCCAATTTATCTAGTGATGTGTATTGTGTTTGTAAATATTTCAGAGAAAAAATCATTATTATCGGCGTTAACTATTTAGAGGGAATATTATGTATTTCTTAAGGAAGTAAAAAAGTAAAAAAGTAAAAAAGGAAAACATTTGGCTCAAATTATTTAATCGTAATCGTAAGGCATTGAAAATTATTTAATTTAGATGGAAACTGCTAAAAGATTATTTTGAAAGTCAAAAAAAAGTATCTTTTTAATCACATAATATTTATTTTTTAAATGATAAAACACTTGAATAATAGAATTTACTTATATAAAAGTTAAAAATATGTATATGGTTAAAAAGATGATACTGTAGCAATTTCGAAGGAATATTTTTAATTTCATCAAACCGAGTATATAGAAAGCTCAATTTCTAAACAGGAGTTCATGGGTTTACTCCCAGTTCGGAAAATGTTCTGGAAATCTGGAATTCTGGAATTTCTGTTGGAAGTAAACCGAAATCTAACTTTCCGGTAAAGTGTCCCAATTACGTTGATTTCCGAAATGGTCTTTTTCTGGAATAATCAAAACCCTGATTTAATCAGAAGCGCTTTCAACTTTTAAATGGTTTACATTTGTTTGTAGTTTTTCTAAGGGACAAAGGAGTGAGATATTTTTTTAAGAATCTCAATATAATTCCAACCCGATGTTGTCTTGTAGACTTTTAATATTCCACACTGAATTAAAAAGGTGTTAGATCAAAAAAAAACTAGTTTAAAATATCAACGGTTTACCCCATCAGGATGCAAAGATAAAGAATAGAAAAACATTTGGTTTTATTCCGTCTCAAAATCAGTTTTTTGGGCGTGACTTGTTTATCAAGCGTGTATACAATAATTTTAACAATTCGAATTCGGCTTTAAAGACTTTATCGACAAAAAAGTAAATATCTCAATGTGTTTGAAATTTAAAAATGTTTCAGTTTTTTTTTCAATTGTATAACAGAAACTTTTTACTCAAGCCTGATGGATCTGAACATGTTTATCTAAAAGTCCGTAAAGTCTGTAGGCTGAAAGTGCAATTTTAAGTATTCCTTTATGAAAAGATGCCAATGCCCGATTTACAATGGTACCCTTGAAAGCTTTGTCGGATCATGTATGAATTAGATATCAATGTTTTTATTTCTTTAAATTTTTATTTTCTCTGCGAACGTGACTTGCGCATTTCTTAAGTATAAGAAGCAATGGAAAAACTAAAAATTTAAACACATTCGAGTAAAAAAAAAACCGACGACATCTTCCACAACTTTGATCAGATTAAGGTGTCCAGGGAGCAATTGTAAAATGGGCATTGCAAACTTTGCATGGACTATGGACTGGAGAGTCAAAATTGAAATTAAGTTTTCGATTCAAAGAGAATAGAATATATGTTAGAGCGGAATTTACTAGAAAAAAGTGTAAAACGGCCATTTTGTTGTACTGTTTCCATACTGCAGGTGTCTAAGGAACATACTGTGAACATTTACATGATTTGTACACTTTGAACTCCCTTTCAGGCTGAAAGGGACTGACAAAATGTATACCGAAGGATTGTCTAAATTGCACTCTAATATATATTTTATTCTCTTTGTTTCAATCCCTTTAAAAGTTTTCTGCAGAGAAACTTTACTCATGTTTTCTTGAAATCTTTGATACAAATTTTCAATTAAATAAATAGCTTTTACCGATTATTATTAAATCGTAAGGTGTCTTTTTTATCTGTAAAAGTGCTTTTTCACGGAAGCATTGTAATAATGGAACAACAGTTATAATGATGTTTTCAATTAAGTTGTTTGTCTTGATTGGAAGGGACGAAGGTAGACTAGAAAATAAAATGAAGGAAAGGGGAGATTGCCGGGATAAATCTGTAATTTGATTTTTCTGCCAAATTAAGATATATGAAGGTTTTCAATATTTGATGTATTTGCCATAGAAATAATTTCATTATCTTTCCGAAAAACAAGAAAAACAACTTTTTGCAATCAAATATTTCGAAAAAGCTAGATTTTTTTAGAGGAATCAACAATTATTTTTTGGTCTCTCTGGCAGCAGCAGATCTACTGGTGGCCGGAGTAGCCATGACACTCAATGCTACCCAGGAGATATCCGGCAGGTAAAATATACAACACAAGCTAAAGATGACACTCAACGCTACACAGGAGATATCCGGCAGGTAAAATATACAACACTAGCTAAAGATGACACTCAACGCTACACAGGAGATATCCGGCAGGTAAAATATACAACACAAGCTAAAGATGACACTCAATGCCTGTATGTTACCCCTGGGGTATTCTAGTGTTCCCGTAAAAATTTCATTCAATTTGGGGCAGCCGTTATTATATAGATAATTTTGACTTGCAAACATAAAAGACTGCATGGCCGGGTCTGAATCTACATTCTACATGCATTGACTGGGAACCCCACCTCAATTATGAAGTGAATATATATATAGCCCAATTTTACCAGGAAGCTCAGTAAAAAAAAGACCACCAACTTTAATGGTAAAATTGTGCCAAGGAGGTTTGTTCTGCGTTGAAACTTTGTAAACACAATTTAAGTAGTATCACTGCAGTAATATAATCAATATCTAAAACTACTCGTTGTAGCTTATTTAAAATCGTTCAAATAGGTTCAAATAGGTTCAAATAGGTTCAAATAGGTTCAAATAGGTTCAAATAGGTTCAAATAGGTTCAAATAGGTTCAAATAGGTTCAAATAGATGATATTTTTACAAATATTTAAGATGCAACGAAGGCAGGATACATAAGACGTAAAATATATAATCCATTTTTAATACAATGATAAGCCTATTTAACAATATAATACAGACGACATTTTAGTGCAGCTTTGCTTTACATCCAGCTTGCATATAAACAAGGGAAGCTGTGAGTTTGACGGCAATTCATCTTTGCTGTACAAACTACAAATAATGTATTAATACACAAAAATGATTGGTTTTATATCTAATGAAACATAAGAAATTAACTGTTTATTTTGAATAAATTGTCTGGGGCAAGGTAATAATATGCAAGGAAAGTTATTTTAGAGGTGTACACATCTTTTGTACTGCAGTGTACTGTCTCTGGGCGGTAATGTAAAGTGTAAACACAAAACGGATGTCACAGCCTGACATGGAATCCATTTTCACAAAAATAATCTATGAAATATTCTGGTCATAGGAAACTATGATGTAAATTAGCCAAATTATCAAAATTAAATGCGTTTAACCTCCTCGGATAACAGACGAACACTGATGCATCTATTCTTGTTTACAAATTCTGCCCAGAGCCCAAAACTTAAGACAGGGTATCGTTATGAAAACAAGTTTTGGAACCCGGGTTTTACGGATGGGTTTAGACAGTTTTGTCGATATCAATATTTTTGTCATGAAATATTATATTATTTAGTTTCTTCATATTCTCCACTTTTTACGAATCTCTTAAATCAAAATCTACACAAATCTTAAGACCCCAAAAAGGAAACGCGAAGGCTTTGATCAACAATATTCTTTTTAATTTCGGGCCTAGAGAGAGAACTGGTTTCAATATGTACGCGACCGCAATTAACTTTCCTCGGGCTTACCATTGTAATAATATATATAATGTTTACATATATTAAAACTGTTAGAAATGTAATGATGACTGGAAAGACTAGTAAACATTGCTGAAAGGTCAAGAATAATGATTTTTTTTGTTTTCTAACTTTAAAACTCACTTCTTAGAAAGATAAATTGTTCAATTCTTTTCAAGAAATGGATTCTATAAATATATAATTTTTAATCTAAAGCTTTCCAACTCATCCCAATCTTATTATTTTCTCAAACTAACCCCCCCCCCCAGTTTTTTTAAGGGGTCAGGTGGTGGGTGACTGATTTTTGTCACAATCTTTCTATGTATATGCTTTGCGTTTATTTTATTTGTTAAACGTTTTGTAAAGTAACCTTGTAGAATGCATTGGTGAGTTATTTATTTAGTTCAAAGTTGAAGTAAGACTCTTTTTATGTTTGATATCTATTTTTTTCGTGAATTTTAACAATTTTGTGAGCTGATATTTTTTAGATGGATTTTCGGCAGCTTTGTTTGTGACCTCTGGAACTCAATAGATGTTCATGCTTCCACGGTAAAAAAAAAAGTCAAAATTATAATTTGTCTGTTACAACCAAAGAGAATAGAACATATATTAGAGTGGAATTTACTAGAAAAAAGTGTAAAACGGCCATTTTGTTGTACTATTTCCATACTGCAGGTGTACTTCACATATTTATGCTTTATAACCTTTTGGGCCTTGGAATATCATTTTATAGAAAATCTAAAATTATTGTTAAAGGAAACTCAATTATGAAATAGGCTGGTTTCATAATTGACCAATGATCATTTCACATAGACTCTATGTCTTTCACTTTACAAACGATGATTTTCCGTTATAACTATAAATCAAATAATGGTTTTTATTCACCTAATTCATTATAAAGTTTATTTAACTGTTTAAAAAATTTGAAATTGAAATGAATAGTCTAGGGAACATACTGTATTAATGTACTCTATTGTATATAATTTGTGAACATTTACATGATTTGTACACTTTGAACTTTCTTTCAGACTGAAAGGTACTGAAAAAATTCATACCGAGAGATTCTTTAAATTCCCCTCTAATATATATTCTATTCTCTATGGTTACAAGATTTTTTATTCCGAGTCAAATAAAAGTTTTTAATNCCTCCTATGATTTTGCCCTCAGTGTTGAGATAGGGGAGTGTAATGCATGGCCTTAGTCCGGCTTTTCAAGGCCTGCTCATCAAAAAAATTAAACCTTTAACTTTCTTGTAATATAAACATTTTATCATATCCATTTTTCAAGGGCTTTTTTAATAATATAAACTAAAGCCATGTATAGTCTAGCCTAATTGATAAAATAGTTATTTGGCATTTTGGATTTTTTTTTAAAGCAGCGACCCGCCGTTTAGTGAAGAAGTTTAAGCGTTCAAGTGTTAGCCGTGTTTAAGTAATTTAGAAAAATCAAGGGGGGGGGGCAACAGCCGTGATAGGTTAATAATTTCCCTTCCCCCTCTATATATATAGTACATACTTTAGATGTCATGTGTCTGACACAACATCCTCAAATTTCCTAAAATCCAGCGTCTTTCAAATCTTCAAGTTTTTCTTTTAATTTTCTACCATTGTTTTCCCCTCGGATCTTTAACGTTATATGTTGTAACCTTGTATACTAATCTATAATATTATACATTTGGCTGGTTTATGTGAATATTTGGAACATGAAGCCAGAACAACAAGTTGATCACACTAAATACGCCTCCTCAACCAAATTCCCTCACCCATTCCCCCATTTTATCCCTCTCATTAGAGATGGGCCTTAAGCTTTTTTTCAATTTGTTGTTCATTGTTTTTTTTTTTAAAAAATTAAAAAATTGTTCTCAAAATTGTAGCTCATTTTCAAACTATTTTTTTTACTGAAAGATTGTTCATTAAAATCGTTTGTTTATCATCATTTCAGTTTAAAAAAAATATAAGATAAGAGTTTGTTAGAATGAATTTTTTAAAGCCAATTTTAATGTTGAGTTTAACGTTAACAATATATACTGATAACTTAAAAACTTTGAATTTTTTACAGTTAATGTTAATGTTAATGTTAATGTTAATGTTAATGTTAATGTTAATGTTAATGTTAATGTTAATGTTATTGTTAATATTAATGTTAATGTTAATGTTAATGTTAATGTTAATATTAATGTTAATGTTAATGTTAATGTTAATGTTAATGTTAATGTTAATGTTAATGTTAATGTTAATGTTAATGTTAATGCCCACTATTTAAGTGACTTATTTTGTCTGTCTAATAAGATTGCCCTACAGATAATTACAATCGATGTTAATGTTAATGTTAAATTATATCCGAACTGGCTCAATCACTCACTAATATTATAATAAAATATAATATATTTAAAAAAGGACAAATTTTTTAAATACAGAATAAAAGGTAGTCATAAATATATATTTCATAAATACAAAGAATAAATGGTCGTTCAACAATTGAATACAATAAATACATAAAAAATAGTCAAAAATGATTTATATTTAAAAAACAATTATGTTTTAAAAATAGACAAATCATTCATTTAGATATAAAAAATAGTCAAAAAGTTATATTTTATAATAAAAAGTCATGTATACAAAAAATAAATGGTTGTTAATAGAACAAAGTTATGTATAGAAAAAATAAATTGTTCAATAATTGAAAACATTAAATCCATATATCAAAAACTTATGTAATAAAAATGAACAAACGGAATAACAAAAATAGATTCAATCAACAGAGGCATCATAGCCCTAGCCTGAGGGAGTTTTAGTTTAATATTACGACTAAAACAACACTCTGTATATTCATTTCTTTCTTGAACTAGAGAATGAAGATAAAATGATGCTTTCTCTTGTTCATAGAGTTAAGCACTCTTTTGAAACGTCCTAGCCAAACAAAAGTTTGCTCTGCAGCCTCGGTATTTGGACGATCGAAAGTTGATCTTAGACTTTCTTTTACTTTTGGATATTTATACCTACAGGGGTATCAAACATGATTTTTCATATGTGGGGGGGGGGTACTGCAAATAGTCTAACAACTAGAATAGTGGGCCGGCAACAAGAAAATCCGGTTTATGGTCAGAGGATTATACATATCAACCTTTTCTTGGCACTCATATGGGAGGTGGTGTACTGCAAATAGTCGACAGCAAGAAAATAGTTGGTGGTATAAAGAGGGGGGGGGGATCTTTGTTTTTGAAGTCCAGGGGGGCTGATATATCTATATATATTTCGTGTATATATGTTTGATATATCTATATTTATGTATATACAAATATAAATGTATGTACAAATATGTATATTTAAGGTGATTAGTGAATACATATTATGTTAACTTTAACATTAACATTAACATTAACATTAACATTAACCTTACACATTTTACAAACATTTAAGGTGGTTAGTGTACACATATAATATTAACATTAACATTAACATTAATATTTTAAAAATATTAAAGGTGGTTAGTTTAAACATGCAATGTTAACATTAACATTAACATTAACACTAACTTAACACATTTTACAAACATTTAAGGTGGTTAGAGTACATATATAATGTTAACTTTAACATTAACATTAACATTAACTTTAACATTAACATTAACATTAACATATTGACATTTCACATTTTACAAACATTTAAGGTGGTTAGATTACACATATAATGTTAACTTTAACATTAACATTAACATTAACTTTAACATTAACATTAACATATGGATTTGGCATCCAATCGTTGAACATCGTAATAACTTGATAATTTTGTCAATGTAACATTAACATATCATTTTCAAATGTATATATTGTTTGTAGGACAATATTAACATTAATATTAAAATTAATAAATTTATAAATCATATCATATATACCTAAATGTTAATTTATATGTATTTTGTATATATCAATTAACATTATCATTTGCATGTTAATATTGACATTAATTAAACTAATTAAATCTTCAATGGTCTCATATAGAGCCTCATGCACTACTTACGTGAAATCAATTAAATAAAACGAAAAAATAAGAGGCTTTACCTTTCATTCGTATTCATTTGTGAAACAAAAACAATAGTTTCAATATTTCATGGCTTCGGCTTCCTCTAGAAATACCGTATATGTCAAGCAATATTTATCTTTTATCTCTCAATCATAATTTCATTTAATATTATTTTAGGTTAGCACACTACATCTGTGCTGTATATCACTTGATAGATATTATGCTATTGTCAGACCATTGGACTACCAGTCAACTATAACTACCAGGTTAGTTATTGGATACTGTACATCTCATACCTAGGATTAGAAGTAATCAAAGAGAAGCTTTTTTAACTGGCAGCTCCTCTTGACTTCTATGTTTATATCCATGCTGTTTAAAAGCTTAATATAAATGAAAATTGTAATCAAAAATCGTTTTAGTTCCTTTATTTCCTTAAGTTCCTTTAGTTCCTTTAGTTCCATTAGTTCCGTTAGTTCCTTTAGTTCCTTTAGTTCCTTTAGTTCCTTTAGTTCCTTTAGTTTCTTTAGTTCCTTTAGTTTCTTTAGTTCCTTTAGTTTCTTTAGTTCCTTTAGTTTCTTTAGTTCCTTTAGTTCCTTTATTTCAGGGTTGCTATTCTGATGATGATTGTAGCCTGGTTGTCCCCGACCATCATTTCCTTTGTTCCCATATTTCTTGGCTGGTATACGACTAATGAACATATACAGGTATAAACCATGACAAAAATGCCATTGCTAGGGATTGGTAAAGAGTTGTTGTTCTATTTTATTCTTTGAAAACATCAATGTACAGTTATGGTGCCTTATTTTTGTCATAGGTGGACACTGAACAGCCTTTCTTTTTTGCCCAGCTTTGCCTGAAAACTATTTTTTTTGCTCAATTTAGATTTTTAAACTTAGTTACAAACATTCTTGTGGTTCTCCCAATTTCTCCAATCAAAGTTTGAGGCAAATCGGTCAAGACTCAATAGGTTTATAATTTATGACATACAAATAAAAAATAAAAAAAGATTACTACTTAATATATATAGATGCATTAAAGTTTACATAATACATACATTATTTTGTTCAGTTTCATCAATATGTGGGGACAAATCAGGGGTGTATATTTTCTAGAAAAATCATCCCACCTATAGTTGAAAATAATTTCATCTCCTTAGATGTTAGTTTTTGTTTTTAAAATATTATCAAACCAATAAGTAAATGATTTCTTTTTAAATATGCAAATTCTATTCTTTTCCTTATTAATATGTGAACAAATTCCTTTTCTGGCTTGCCAAGGTTTTGTGTAAATATTATTCTAAAGTTTAGAACTGTCCTCAAGCATGAATGTGTTGCATTTAAGCCTAATATTCTGATTTATGATTATGTGCAACACTTTGAAATCGAGCTCCAAGTTAAAATAGTTTGAAATATGTAAAATTTAGGAAAATTCTAAATTTATAATTTTACAAATTTTAGAACTGAACTACATTTAATGCTTTACGTGGTTATGGGTTAGTACATTGTTCCCGGGCAACAATCGTGCCTTTACGATTTTCTAACAAAACGCCATTTAAATGGATTTAAGTTCCGGGAAAACTATCTTATTTTTACGGGAACAACTGGAACAGAACGGAACAGAAAAGAGCGGAACAGAACGGAACAGAATGGAATGGAACAGAACAGAATGGAACGGAACGTATGGAACAGAACGGAATGGAATGGAACGAAATGGAACGGAAAGGAACAGAACGGAACAGAACAGAACGAATCGGAACAGAACGGAATGGAACAGAACGGAACAGAATGGAATGGAACAGAACGGAAAGGAGCATAACAGAATGGAACGGAATGGAATGGAACGGAACAGAACGGAATGGAACAGAACGGAGTGGAACAGACCAGAATGGAACAGAACAGAATGGAACAGAATGGAATAAACGATTTAAAAAAAGTAGAAAGAAGACCTATTCTTTTTATAATTAATTCAATTTCAAACTGTAAGGTGATTTTAAATATTGAATAAACTTAAATTTTTCTCATTTAAAAAAAGCTGAAATTAAATCCGTTTGCTGAATTGTTTGCAAGTAAACTTTTTACATATCACCTTCAGCTTCAGTGGGCTCTGCAGTAATTTACAGTATACTGACTAAAGATATAGTAGCACTAGTGTATAGTGGAGGGTGTTTTAGGAACGAGCTGAAAGCCCAGGGGAGTGTGCGTTTATTGTTAATAAACCCTATGCGTTCATTTCATCAACTCTTACATTCTGGTGTCCTGTCATAGTAATGCTCCTCACCTACCAGAGGTCAGTATATTTTATGTTTTCTGACTCTAGCTTGTCATATACAGTGAAAACCAGAAAACTCCGGAACAGGATGTCGACTTTTATGCTCAAGTTATAACTTTATATAGCGCATTGAACACACTGTAAATGTCCAGTGTAAACAAACCCATTTCACTTAATAAGTGATTTATTAACTTAATTCAATTATGAAATATCAACCCTATACGAATGCGTGTAAAAATGATCAATGATTATAGTTTGTAATATCTGAATGATTTGTTTGGAATTGAATTGATATGTGTACATTGTGACCTAACTACTATTGTAAATTACTATGTCAACCCTGTATTGTGATTAAACCTAACTACACTATCAATAACTACATATAACTTACGTTCATTAATGTAACCTGTACCATAGAAATCAAAATAAACATCAGTTGGAATAATACTACACTTGATAATGGTGTGAGAGTAATTTGTTCCTCGTTTAGCGAACAAGACGGACCTGAGTATTAATAGATGAAGACCAGGGAGATATATGGAGTATTGCATTGAATTGTATCTTAAAAGACAGATAGATATCTTAGAATACAGAGAGAGTTGCATCCTGATTGATATTGACTATGGTATTATTGAGGAACCCTTAGTTTAAAATTGAATTGCATCTTGTAAGACAAATACCTGACTATATAGATAGAGTTGTTTCTGGTTTGAAATTGACGAAAGTATGTGTTCCTTGTTTAGCAAACAAGAAGGACCTGAGTTGTATCGAAGTTAATAGATATAGACCAGGGAATTCCAGAGAGTATTGGATTGAGTTGTATCTTGTAAGACAGATACCTGATAATACAGATAGAGTTGTATTCGGTTTGATACTGACTAAGGTATTATTAAGGAACCTTGAGTTCAAGATTTAGTTGTATCTTGTTAGACAGATACCTTAGAATACAGACCGAGTCGTATCCGGATTGATATTGACTAAGGCATTCCTGAGGAACCTAAAGTTTGAGATTGAGTTGTATCTGGTAAGACAGATACTTGAGGAAACAGAAGGTTATACCTGGATTGGTACTGATCTAAAAGGATTTATTGGAGTAGGGCATTCATTACAGATATACATTACACATATATTTATATAAAGTATAAATATATAAAAGTATAGATTCTTTTGTAAAATTTCACCGGGCAGGGTGTACTGCAGAAGAAACGTTTTTTGCAATCAATTAAATCCTAAAATTTGTCTCATAATACTGCACTCTCAGTTCAAATATAATACCAACCAGGCACTTTCTTTACATAAAGAGAGCTCAGAGTTGGTTTGACTGAAAATTTTAACTAAACGACATTTTTTTGACATCCATTTGTGAAGAATTCGTAACGATGAATTTTCCAAAATAAAAATTTCTTTAGTACTGTATTTTAAACATTATTTAACATATGATAAGTTTTAGTTCAAGGGCAAATTGGAGTTTATTCTAAGGGGGTAAAATTTGTACTAAGTTCCCCCCTTAAATAGAGGTTGGAATTCATTACTATTGAACAATAACTTAAAGTGAACAAACTTTGTATTGTTTAGAAAACGAATATATTCATATAAGGAAGTTTAACTATAAAGCAATAATCAGAGGAGCCTCTCAGTTTTTATAATTATAATACAATTGTTTTGGATTGCTCCTCTTTAGTTAATAAACCTGGTTAAACTAATGTTTTATGACAATATACAAGGAGGATTATATATGAAGGTCAAGGGGGGGCGTCTAGGGGGCCCAGGCTTCTTCATAACCCCTTAATACGCCCCTGGTACAGTTCAAATATTCTAGGGTGTACAGAGAAGCAATGCGACAAAAGAAAACCATTGAACGACTCAACACAATAGTAAATCTGAACAGTAGAACAGTGAGTAGACGTGAGTCCAGTGAACAGGTAAATCTGAACAGTAGAACAGTGAGTAGATGTGAGTCCAGTGGAAAGGTAAATCTGAACAGTAGAACAGTGAGTAGATGTGAGTCCTGTGAACAGGTAAATCTGAGAAGTAGAACAGTGAGTAGATGTGAGTCCAGTGACCAGGTAAATCTGAACAGTAGAACAGTGAGTAGACGTGAGTCCTGTGAATAGGTAAATCTGAACAGTAGAACAGTGAGTAGATGTGAGTCCAGTGAACAGGTAAATATGAACAGTAAAAATAATGAATTCCTTTCCGAATATTTTGGTGGGCTGAAAAATTCTCAAAAGTTTCCCGAATGTTGAAAAGCAAACAGAAAAGTTATCTTTCATAAAAAATTAATTATATTCTTCAAATATTTTTTAAATGTTTATTTTTAAAAAATGTTTTCACTTCAATGAATTTCAAACTGTCCGTTTTAGATTTTAAAGATAAGAAATGTATGAAAAAATAAAAACAGAAATAAAAGCTTAAATTGTTAAGAAAACTTTCCCCTCCTCCTTCTCGACTGTTATTGTAAATATGAAAGTTTAAAGTTTTCTTATATGTTAAAAGTTGCCAGTTTTACCATGAATAAAGATATGTTTGCTTAATGGAATTACAATATTTACACAGACATGGTTTCTAGATTTCCTGTCCTAGAAAAACTTCCCTCAAAAAAAGCTTAATCGTTATAACGACCACGGGTTGGCATTAACTGGATTTTTTAGTCAATGTATATTTTGTTTCTAGGGATAGACTGTGTTCACTTTTTAAAAATGATTTTTTCGTATTTGTAACGACGTGGAAAAAAACACGAAATGGTCGTTTTTAATTTGCTTTGACGACCGTGAAAGACCATTAACGACAGTTAACTCCCTTAAAGACTACACTTTGCGAACCACCGTTAACGACCACCCCCTTCAAATTAAGTAAATTAAAAAAATAATTCATATTCCAATAATTTTAGTATTCTAGATCAAAAACTTCATTATAGTAAAAATTAATTTGAAATTAAATTATTTTTACTAATGAAGTTTTTTTCAAAAACGATAGTTTTTTTTCAAGAAAACAATCATATCATTGGTTCAATTTGTGTTATTCAAAAGTCCAAAAAGAATGGTTCGTTCGTTTTGACCCTTTTTTGTTTTACACGAAACGAAAAACGATATTTCTTATCGTTAGAAAATGATGTTTAAGTCTTTTTGAGGCCCCCTAACTCTGTCTCTGCTAGGATGCTTTAAAAAAATATGTTCTTTCTTAAAAAGGGAATATTTCTGAATCAAATTAGGCTCTGTTGAAATAAAACTGAAAATTTATCATGCTATTATTATGAATTTATGTTAGAAAAAATTATCATGCTATTATTATGTATATTAAAAAAAATCAAAACTTTAAAACTTTTCCTTAGTTTTAAGCCGTAAAGTGGTTTTATTTTATTTCATTTAAAAAAAAATATTTCATAAATCGAATTATCTACTTTCTTTGTTTTAAATTGAAAGTAAATAAAATAATTTCTTTTAATAGAATTTATTTTCACTTAAACTAAATATCTTGTAGCATTCTTTATATCATTTACACTTTAAAGAAGAGCGGACAGTATCACTCACATATACAGTGATAACCAGAAAACTATGGAATAGAAATTCGGGTTTAGACATAAGTTATGACTTTAAATACAGGGTGTCCCACGAAACATGACAGTATGCAGGACGACTTGAATGTCACAAATAAATTCAAATACCAAAGACGACTTTCAAGTCGTCTTGCTATTTTCATGTTTCGTGGGACACCCTGTAGTTAAATGAACATGAGACACGGAAATTGTGCAGTGTAAACAGACCCAATTTCATTTGATACGTAATTTAATTGCTAACTGTATTTGCTTTGTAACCACATCTAATGCACTTAAGTATGGCATATCGTTTTAGTTTTCCAGAGTTTTCTGGTTCTTACTCTACAAAATATAGATTTCTAAAAACATTCTGTTTGAAAAATACAAATTTAGAAACAAACTTGCACAACACATTGAAGACGACATTTAATTTTGAGATTGAGTCTTCTTCTGCTATATACAGGGTGTCCCACGAAACATGACAATAGGAAGACGACTTGAAAGTCGTATTTGGTATTTGAATTTATTTGTCACAGTTAGTCGTCTATCTACTTTAACATGTATGATTCTTGAAACAATTATCACATAATTCTCCTCCTAGCCCTGGCATTTCTAAAAAGTGGTCTGCGTTTTTTGTGCTTTCAATATTACCGGAGATATAAAGTGTTTGATTCAGATTTCAATTTTGTTAAATAAAAGCAAAATTGTCGAAATCTGAACGAAATTCTTCATATCTCGGGCAATATTGAAAGCACAAAAAAGGCAAACCACATTTTGAAAATGGAAGGACAAGGGAAATTTTGTGATTATTATCTCTAGAAATTTACTTCTAAAATTAGGTTGACAAATAAACGCAGCAAATTATATCAAAAATCAAGACGACATTCAAGTCGTCCTGCATACTGTCATGTTTCGTGGGACACCCTGTACATACATGTCTTGGGTGTCTGGGTGTGGTTTGTTTTTTGTCATTCCAATAAATGTCAAAACGGGTGAACCGATTGGGCCCAAATTTTAAGTGGGACTATTCAGATGACTCCAGGAAGGTTTATGGATGCTCGGAATTACAAAAAAAAGTTCGTGAAAATTTTTGTTGTTTTTTCAAATTTTTGAAATCCACAAAAAAAGAATTATAAATCCGTAAAAATGCTGATAGATTGAGTAACAATTAAAAGTTGAAGAGGAAGATGGGCGCGAAGCGTCCTGATACCCTTGTCTTCTTTATAAAATAGAAAATCTTGATTATTTAATTTACTCCAGGAAAATTCATCTGGTAGATATCGGGAAAGAACTGTTTCCTGGAGAGAGAAATACATTCAGGTAAATTTTTAATTTAGTCTGTTGTCAATAGTAGGGTGGGTATAGAGAATAGAAATACAGATAGCGATAAAAGGAACTGAGTTTTGCTACAAATTCAGATTTATCATACTAATATCTTTGCAACCCTTTGTCATAGACCTTTAATGTTTTAAAGTATAAATTTTTCCGGATCAAATAGGTAAAGTTTGAATTATAAAAAAGATGTGTACCAACAGGTTGCAAAGATATGTGGATTTAAACATTTGTGTTTGTGACCAAGAACTCAATTCCTTCGGGTTTTAAATTTTATACTGGGATAGCCAGAAAACTTTAGAATAGAAAGACGACATTATAGCAATACTGAAGTTCATTTGATGTTGTTACAAAGTATTTAGCTTTACTAGAAGTTATTACAATCTTATTTATTAAAATGTTAATACTGCACAATTGCTGTGGCACATGTTCATTGGACTGTTTATAGTCATAAATTGAGTTTAAAAGTCGTCTTTCTATTCCAGAATTTTCTGGTTCTCACTGTACCATCAGTAAAGTACTTGCTTTTACCATTAGTCGTTAAACAAAAAAAATCTTATCGATTTTGACGTGAGAGTTTAAAATCCATGGATCCCATTCCCAGCGTGGTTACTGGATTTTAAATAGCTCCCAGGGTTTCTGGATAAAATTTTAAATCAAATCAAATCGAATATTTATGTTTACGCAGAGACATATCATACAATAAAATTACCCATAGTTATTAATTACAGAGGTTTAATCATTTATGTTCTGCGTCTGGAGAACTATAGTGTATAGTGTATACAGCTGTTTAAATCTAGGGAAAATGGAAAATTTGTTTGGCTAACTACAAAAATGTTCAAAATACAATTATGGGGTTTTTGCTAAGACGCCTTAAAATTTGTATATGAATTTGCACAGTTTTTTCCTCTATTACACACTTAGGGTTTGAAAACTTAGCAAAGGAAATGAGTTTTTGCCACAAACTCAAATTTCCTAATTTCTATATCTCTGCAACCAGTGGGTATAAACCTTTGATATTTCAAACTTAGATTATTTGATCTAACAGAATTAATAGTTTGAAATATCTAAGGTCTTCGACATTGGGTTGCCAAGATATAGGGATAAGAATATTTGAGTTTGTGGCAAAAACTCAGTTCCTTTGCATCTTTGTGTACATTTTAAGTTTTAAAATTATGTGAAATGTCATGAATTATTATCTCAATAAGAAAATATAGAGGGGGGGGGTTCTTAAAGAATTTATCCAGAACCTGGATTTCAATTTTGGAGTCTGAGAGTACAAAATATAACAATATTCTTTTTAATGTTTGCAGGGAATGTGAGCTTAATTTTACGTGGCAATGCCTGATTTACAATGGTTCCTTTGAAACCTTAATCTGATCAATAATGTGGAAGATAACCTCGTTTTTATAACTCGAAAAGTATTTATTTCATGAGCTACCCATTCCTTCTTAAAAGAAAAAAAATCCCAAGTCACCTTCGCAGAGAACCCGGAAATTAAAATAAACAGTTAAAAGGAACAAAAACATTAATATCTAATAAATACATGATCAGAAATTACGCTTACAGTCCCTTTAAATAGGGAAGCAATAGCAATATGAGCAATATCTCTGAGCACGACGAGTTTCAACCAGAGAAAATTCTCAGGCAATGCTAAAACAATTTGAAGAACTCCTAACTAGAAATTACTTATTCTAACCAAACCTTTAAATTCCTTAAAATGGTGAAAAGACCAACTACGAAAATTTAAATACTTATGCAAAATAATTTGATTTTAAGAAATCAATGTGTGATTAGTTCAGTTAGTTAAAAGCTCCTTCAATCAGAAACTTACTTTTAAGTGTTGTTTTATCAGAGATAAGTTGAAAAAACATCAATATTCAACCAAAGATCAGGTACAAACTACAAATAATGTACAGTAGTCGGCGTTTATATCAATACAATAAAAACGAATTTTTATATAAGTTTTAATATCAATTTACAAGTTTACAAGTAAACAAAGATAAGCTGTTAATTGAAAGTTTACATGTTTATGTGAAGTGTAATCGAAAGTTGTTTTCATTGTATTGATGTATTAATAGGACGACTAGATTTATTTAAGGAGATATTAAAAGAAAGATAGTAGATTAGATTAAGTAAAAGTGGCAGGGGTGTATTATTTACTACGCTACGCCCTCGGGTTTATCATTGAATCCCTCGGGGGTTTAAATTTCCATTGATTCTAATTTGTCTGAGAGTAAATTACATTCCTTTTTAAAGAGGGGATTCAATGATAAACCCGAGGGTTTGCGGATTTTGCGAATTTTTTTTTTGCCTTTGTAGATTTTCAAAGTAGCTTTCAATGAAAATATCCCGGCGGGATTAAATAAAAATTGTTGCATACAAAAAACCAGCTTTTTATAAAGGAATGTATATTTTCTCGAAAAAACATCCCACTTTTTTATGCTTTTGCCAAAAAATTTGTGTTAAATTCACAGAATTGGGAAAAATAAATGAATTTTTGTCTTCTGTCCAATTTTTTCATTTCATTTCATTTTTCATTTCTTTCCAAATCATTAAAAAATTCTGAAAAATAAACTCCAGTGCTAGACAGGATATTGGAGAAAAAAAGGATTTATTTTAAAGGGGATGACTGACTAGGTAACATATTCGAACTGAGAGTGTAGTATTACAGAGACAAATTTTGGATTTATTTGACACCATTGAGAAGTTTTTACGGTTAATATTATCTGAATATAAAATTTCACCAGAGCCGGCGATTTAAAAAATTCAAGAAAATACGACTCGGGTCTAAGCTGTTGTTGAGCCTTATTTACGGCTCGGTCTTTCGGATTTAAGTTGCTCTAATATTCAACAGAGTTTAGTTCATAAAACCGGTTTAATTTTGTATTTGGCGGATTTTCATTGAAGGAATTGGCGCATCCCGGGTTTTGATGAGAAGAAGACCCAACATTGAGCCTTATTGTCCACTAAAACCAACCAAGGTCGGTTTTATTTTCATTGGGCTTAACTCCTTAAGTCGAGCCTAAGATCTCGCAGCCGTCAATCACGTGACACAAGCTGTCGTCAGAGTTGGGTCGAAGATTGGGTCTTAAAGTCGGGTTTAAGGAATTACGGCTCGAGCCGAAGTTTTTAAATCGCGGGCTCAGAATGGATGTTGTGCAAAAGAAACTTTTTTGTACAATTATTTTTATAACCTGACGAAAAAAGTAACAAAAATTTTTTAGAAAACGAATTTGTTGTTTAGGAAAAGGTTAAGAAAATAAAATAAACCCATTTCTTCGAAAATGAATAATCTTATTCAGTTATTGGTTTCTTTTAAACAAAAATTTGAAGAAATCTGCAAACAAATTTAGAATGAATAAAAAACTCGATATAATGCTGATCAAGAAATATTTGATTCTACCATTGAAATCTTCACTGAAGATGTGAAATAAATAAATTTTCTCATTCTTCTGCGAAGAATGAAAACTATAGACGGGATACGAAGTCACAAAATCAGACCAGTAATCTTGTATTATTGTGACCTTCTCCTTCTGTCTAGTTAACAAGTTAACATAAGTATTCTTGCATAGATTGGGGTGGGAGATGAAACTGATCTAAAGAATGAAAGGGATGAGATGAACGAAACAAAGAGAAATAGGTAAAATAAAAGAAATAAAATATGATTAATGATGATTGGAATATGGTTGATGATGATTGGAATATGGTTGATGATGATTGGAATATGGTTTATGATGATTGGAATATAGTTGATGATGATTGGAATATGGTTTATAATGATTGGAATATGGTTGATGATGATTGGAATATGGTTGATGATGATTGGAATATGGTTGATGATGATTGGATTATGGTTGATGATGATTTAAATATGGTTGATGATGATTGGATTATGGTTGATGATGATTGGAATATTGTTTATGATGATTGGAATATCGTTGATTATTGGAATATAGTTGATGATGATTGGAATATGGTTGATGATGATTTAAATATGGTTGATGATGATTGGATTATGGTTGATGATGATTGGAATATTGTTTATGATGATTGGAATATCGTTGATTATTGGAATATAGTTGATGATGATTGGAATATGGTTGATGATGATTGGAATATCGTTGAGGATTGGAATTCACTGATGATGATTGGAATATGGTTCATGATGATTGGAATATGGCTTATGATGATTGGATTATGGTTGGAGATGCTTTAAATATGGTTGATGATGATTGGATTATGATTGGAATATCGTTGATTATTGGAATATAGTTGATGATGATTGGAATATGGTTGATGATGATTGGAATATCGTTGAGGATTGGAATTCATACTGAATACTGATGATGATTGGAATATAGTTCATGATGATTGGAATATGGCTTATGATGATTGGAATATGGTTTATGATGATTGGAATATGGTTGATAATGATTGGAATATAGTTTATAATGATTGGAATATGGTTGATGATGATTGAAATATGGTTGATAATGATTGGAATATGGTTGATGATGATTGGAATATGGTTGATGATGATTGGAATATGGTTAATGATGATTGGAATATGGTTGATGATGATTGGAATATGGTTAATTATGATTTGGTATATAGTTGATAATGATTGGAATATGGTTGATTATGATTGGAATATGCTGATAATGATTGGAATATGGTTGATGATGATTGGAATATGGTTGATGATGATTGGAATATGGTTAATTATGATTTGGTATATGGTTGATAATGATTGGAATATGGTTGATGATGATTGGAATATGCTGATAATGATTGGAATATGGTTGATGATGATGGGAATATGGTTGATGATGATTGAAATATGGTTGATGAAGATTGAAATATGGTTGATGATGATTGGAATATGGTTGATGATGATGGGAATATGGTTGATGAAGATTGAAATATGGTTGATGAAGATTGGAATATCGTTTACTGAATACTGACGACGATTGGATTATCTGCTAAATGAAATCATATTTTCAATGAAGATATTTGTATTACAGATACTTATCAATTTCTTCTTTTTCAGTCCTGAAGTTCGAGTGCATAGGACAAGACATAGGTAACGGACAAGGTTATAATACAAGGAAAGTTAATTGCAGTTGCGTATACTCTGTGTAATATTGAAACCAGTTCGCTCTGGGCGGAATTTGTAAACAAGAATAGATGCATGCAGTGTTCGTTTAGTATCCGAGGAGGTTAAAAGCATAAAATTTTGATAACGTTGATAATTCACATAATAGTTTCCTATGACCAGAATATTTTATTGATTTTTGTGAAAGATGGATCCCATGTCTGACTTCGACATCCGTCTTGTGTTTACATAACCGCCGAAAGACAGTACACTGCAGTACAAAAGATGCGTACACCTCTCCAATAACTTTCCTTTTATTATAACCTTAGGCAACGGATAAGTTTTATAAATTTGAATTTTACTAAAGAATATAATTTATAGATCGCATAAAACACAAAAGCTTGTTAATAAAAAAACCACCCAAGATGGTAAAACTCAAAATTAACCAACAAAATCAGTTAGAAAATGGCCCAAAAACCCATAAATTCTTTCATCTATAATTTTTAACCCCCCCACCAAAAAAAAAACCAAAAAAAACTTTTTATTAACACTCTTAATGTTGACAGTTATTTCCGATAACTACGTATTTTACGTACAAAAAAAATCTCTAGTTTCTTCTTAAACTTTATTTTTAATTTCAATTATTATATTGTTCACTCTTGTCTATCCCATTAAATTTTTATTTGTATCCTGCCAGCTAAACTTTCCTTTCTAATTTTGTTTATAATTACTTTTTAGTTTTTACTTGTTTTGATATTTGATAGTCCGATGCATCTTTCCCGAAATCTGATGAGTTGTTAAAATCAATTAAAATTTGAGATTTTAATTAATTAAAATATCAAAAGAATACGTACTATACTTTCTATTTAAATTTTAATTTCTACCAAGCAATTTTAAACAGCAGAAACAATTAAAGAGAACTGCTGTCGATCAACAGTTTCTCGTTGTTTATTTTTAAACTTAATTTAAAAAATGCTGGTTAGAGCTCCTCAAAGCATTAATAATAAAAAGTCGTCTTCATTGTATTGATTTTATCACCAAACACTGTTTTATAGTTAGAATCTTTAGTTTGGGGAATGTTTTGGTGGATGTAAAAGCTCGAGCCAGGTTATCCATTGTTAACAGCACGCATGCTATTACGGAGGGTGAGCACTTTGTATACATATATTTACCCAGAGCTGAAAACTCTTGTACGTACATTCCTAAACATCTGTATCCAATGTCAACACTTTTGATTTTCTGCTTTATTCTCTCTATTTAAAATCCCTGCTGGGGTCGGACCAATGAGAGTTCTCTTACTAATTGCACACCAAAATTTTAAAATTTCTTGGGCTCTGATTGGCTGTTTGGCTTCTCTAATCGACACTCTGATTGGTTGCATTTTGGACACAGATCTGGATATTAATGTAGGATTATTAAATTAATCTTTGATTAATAAAAAGAGAAGATTAGGCATTAATCGATCATTGATCCATGAGCCAAAAGTTTTCAGCTCTAGACAAACCAGGGAAGAAGTAAATTTGTTTTTCTTAAGTTATATTCAATCACGTTTTGGTCTAAAATTAAACCATAGATTAATTAACAAGACCAGATAGAACACTGGATGTCGTCTTTTCAAGAGTTAGTGGTGTTTAGTTCACAATAAGCGTGAGGCAAAAGCCAAAAAGAGTTAAAGCATGCTCCAGAGTGAGCCTGTTCTACGCCGCATGCGCGTAACTCCTTTGGGCGTCTGCTTTAGGGTTATTGTTAACAAAAAATCCCTAAATCTTGAAAAGGCGACATCTAATGTTCTATCTGTTAAAGTTATATAATTAATCTATGAATTAAACTATCTATAACCTACAAAGAGGATTTTTATTACTTATTAATTTAAAACGCATATACGGACAAAAAAGTGTATATAAAGAGAAAAAAGACAAATTTTAGTATAAGGGGTCAAATTTTGATCGAAAATAATATGTTGCTAAAACTAGGACCGAACTAATAAATCAGGTGTATTGCATGTATGATTAGTCTATTTAATCTTATATGAGAAATTGACATGCTGATTTTCAAATGTTTTATATTTTCTTTTAAGGACTGAAAGAGCGTAAACGCTTGAACTCAAACTGGAGAAAAGAACATAAAGCGTTTGTAACGCTTGGAGTTGTACTGGGAGCATTCCTAGCCTGCTGGCTACCGTTCTTCACATGGTTGGTTTTCATGCTCCTAAGTCCTAACAATGTAAAATCATATTCTTAATTCTGAATTTGGTGGGTGGACTTTTACAGGAAAATCTGGTACTCCAAGCTAGTTTTTTACTGTGATAAATCGATCTGAAAAATTATGTTGGGGTTCCCAAACATTTTCTCGCCCTAGAAACCGCTTACCTCGGGAACTGACTGTGAGTGGTTTTTTTAACTTAGAAACAGCTTACCTCAAAATTGAGCTTTGTGACCACTGACCAGTCTTATCTGACTAAAAGAATTTAGAAGCCTGAAATTGTTCATATAGTCTTTGATTGTGGACCCCTAAAAACATTTGAGATCGGAGGTCATTAACCTCCATCATTTGACCTCAATAAAAGCAGAAAGTAGGGGATACGCATAAACAAGGATCACAATAAGCAAATATTAGAACACTTATAAACATGATTTGATTGATATCAAGAGTCAAGACAAAATTCCTTGATTTTAGAAATTGACCTCATAAAGGCAATCCTATCTTAAGATTAATGACCTTTAGAATTCTCGAAGGCCAAAAAGGGGCCTTAGCGTGGAATTAAACCACAAAAAAAAAAACTTATGTATTCAACCCTAACATATCCCATTTTCATAGTTTTTAAATTTTGACCTCGAAGAATTTATTTAAATTTGGAGGTCAAATTGGTGGAACATACAGATACGAAGAATCAACCTCTGAATTAAATCCAATAAAACATATTGTCATCTTTTTAGAGGTCATAGAGGCCAAAATGGAGAAGATGTCAAACTGGAGGTCATATAACAGTGTTATGATGTATGTCATCATGCTTAGAATATTTAAACATGGCTGATCTTATGCAAACTAATTGAAATAGGCATTTTACCCTTTTTTCTGCGTTTATCAGGGTCAAACTGATGGAGGTTAATGACCTGTGATCCCAAGTGTTCCGGTCCGTGTAGATAATTAAAATTGGAGGCTATGCACTACATTAATTCCATTCTATCCCAACTAATAATAAATCAGATAAGAATGAAGTCCTGAGGGCTAAACGGCTGGACCGATTGGGACAACATTTTTTGTGAACACTCATGGGTGTCCAGGAGGTGTTATAGGCTAAAAAAAATCGACATTTTTTCCAATTAAAAAAAAAATATTTTAATTTAAAACAAAAATTCCACGGCCAACGCTAGTATCTCATAAAAATCTGCTCACTTTATGAGATAAGAAGTTTCTAGGGTAGGAAAGCTAGTGTTACAGCTCCTTAACTGCACAAATTTCAAAAAAAAAGATTTAAATAAATAACCCTGATATTAAGTTTAATAACCTACTCTCCTGTTTCCATTTTCTCAACATAAGACTTTTAAAAATAAAACATTTATCATTTGTAAATATACATTTAGGAAAAAAAAATTTTAAAAAATGTTGAATGTTTTTGCTCCTTATATAAGCAAGAAATGCGCAATTCACTTTATGCTTAAAATTACAGTCCCTTTAAAATGCAAATGTTTGATACAAGGCGGGATAAAAATTATATATTTACTGTAAATATTTAGGTATTTAACAACAACAATCTGTGGAGATGCATGTCCTTGTCCACCTCAAGTAGTTAGTGTTCTTTTCTGGATAGGTATTTACTTGTTTATTTATCCAGGGGAGGTTGAGGTCTTGAATACCATTTATAAGTTCCCGTTTTTTTTAAACAGTTTTTTCTCTATCTTGTGTACAGATTCTACAGGGCGTCTGAAAAAGCTTTTTGAGACATTGCACTCACCATGGTTCAATCTTTTCAATTTTTTAAATTTTTACATTTTTTAATCTTGGAACATTTCTAATCGTTTGATATTTATTAGAAGTATGTAACTCAGAAAATGAAGAATTAATACATTTTGAAATTGACTAGGTTGAAAATTGTTATTATCATTGTGATAAGTAAAAAAATTATCATTGCATTCGACTTTTATTTCCATAGATTAAAATAAGGACTATACCGAAATAGAGTTTATTTCGCATGAAGAATCTGAAGGAGGATGATTAACCCGTCGTATGAGACGAATGAAAGTTGGAGAGTCTGCCATGAGAGCTTTGGCTTTCTTTGACTCATTAGTATCATTTTATTTGTTCTTTGTTTAAACTGTAATACATTTTTCCCTATACTCTGTAGATTCATACACAATCATGGTGAGTTGTGTATGTCTAAAACAGGGTTTTGATATTAATTTTTTAATACAGGATACTTCAACTCAACCCTAAACCCTGTAATCTATGCAATGACAAATCAGGACTTCAAGCTTGCATTCATCTCCATACTAAGGCAAGGGAAAAAGCAAATTTATAAATAGTTCTGCAAACAAAATGAAATTCAGTTGTTGCCGTATATTAATACACTATAGACAACTTTCGATTTTAATTTTTAATTTCTACCATGCTTATAGACAGCATGGATACACATAAACATGGAAACAAATTAACATCTTTTCTTGTATAAACTGTAATTTGAAAAAATAGTTGGAAAATTCGTCTTACTTGAATTGATATAAATGCCAACTGCGGTAGAAAAACAATGATTAATTTCTTTTAAGAAAATGCTTTCCCTCTTGAGCAGGAGACTATTCTGTTGCAAGGCGTCAGAACGAACAATGAATTCAGAATTTTAACCGTTTACCATCTCTATAGATATATGTAATACAGTTAGAACTAGGGTTTCCAGCAAAAAGGAAAAATCGTTTCGCGAAAATTTTTTTTTTCGTGACCATTTCGCGAAAAAATAATAAAAAAATTTAATTATGCAAAAAAACGAAAAATTTCGCGAAAAATGCAGAATTTTTGATAACAAATGCTTAAAACAAACATTTATTAAAGTACAGGGAGAGAATTATTTATATGACATAATAAAACTTAAATATGAGCTATCAGAGCAGAGAATTTTGTTTGAGCAATTAATTGTTGCAGCTATAAAACTTATGATTTTCACAAAATTTTCGCATATTCGCATTTGGCGAAAATATTTACGCAAAATTTTCGCATTTCGCATTTTCGCGAATTTTTTTTCGCGAAATGCGACCCAAGATTTTCGCATTTTTTCGCGAAAATTTCGTTCGCTGGAAACCCTAGTTAAAACCAGAAAACTGTGGGATAGGAAGTTGGCTTTTAGACTAAAGTTAAAACTTTAAGTAGAACAATGCACATAGGACACAACAATGTGCAGTGTAATCAGACCCATTACAATAATAATTGATTTAATAACTTACTATAATAGTAAAGCTATTTGCACTGTAACATCATCAAATGTACTTCAATACTACTATAATGTCGTCTTACTATTCTACAGTTATCTGGTTTTCACTGTAAAAAGCTATAGTTGGTCTCGCTAATAAAGTACATACAGGGTGTCCCAATAAATATGGGAATTCAGTGACGAATTGGATATCGTCTTTTAAATAATTTTTTGATTTAGTAAAGTGATGCCTACTGAGAAAGCTGTAATCTGTAAGATTTTTGTCTGATATGTTTACAATTTGTTTGTTTTTGTTTTGACTGCATATGGTTGTTATTAGTAAAACAAGAAAATTGCAGTATAAAAACCGAGTAAACTTGTCCGTCTTCACTGTTCATCTTGCAGAGACATTATAGACACATCTTTGCATAAAATAAACTGTAGCAGACATAATAATATTATGGCTTTTAAAATTAGGTATTACAATGCTAATTCATAAGAAAGACGATATCGAATTTGTCACTGAATTCCCATGTTTTTTGGGACACCCTGTAGCTAGTTCTTCAGTATCTGCAACTATATGTATTAAGTTAAAGACAAACAGATCAATGTTTTGCATACGTCTGATTAATTAGTGCTGTCAAAGGAATTTTGAGTCTTTGCCACAAACTCTGATTTTCTAACCCCTTTATCTTTGCAATCCCATGTCTTAGACTTTAGATATTTCAAACTATGAATTCTGTTATGATCAAATAATCTTAGTTTGAAATATGAAAAGTTTTACACCACAGAGTTGTAAAGATAAAAGGATTAATTCCTTTAGCAATTTAAGCAAAGTTGTAAGCGTTACAACATCATCATGACTTAAACAACACATGCCCTGACGGCTCATTTGCGAAAGAACTATCAATACCTATCATTTAGAAAGTCAAAAGACAGAGAAACAGTTTTAATAATTAGCTTTGCATCAATGTTATTAAACCTTTGTTTATCGCAATTGCGCCGTGCGCGCGAAGTGTATTGCATGCAACGCAGGGGCGGATACAGGGGGGGGGGGGGGGACATTCGCCACCCCCTGAGATTTCGAGGCAAAAAATGTTCCCAATTCGATAAGTGTTATTGTTAACGATAAATTTAGAATTAGAAATTTGTAAGAAACTAGACTTAAGTTATAATTTTGTTCATATCTAGACCTGTCCGAATCCTTTAATTTTGTTCCTAATTCCTGAACAATCTTTTAATTGTTCCTAAATTCCTGTCCTAATCCTTTATTTTTGTTCCTAATTCCTGAACAATCTTTTAATTGTTCCTAAATTCCTGTCCTAATCCTTTATTTTTGTTCCTAATTCCTGAAAAATCTTTTAATTGTTCCTAAATTTCTGTTCTAATCTGTTAATTTTGTTTCTAAAACTTAAAAATCTAGATTTTTAGTCTCTAGTCATTGATTTTGACTCTTTTTGAGTCTTTTTTTAAGTCAAAAAAATGTTCGCCTCCAGCACGGTTTTTTGTTCCTAATTATTAGTTTTTTTGTTCCTAAAAAATCTTGCCCCCCCCCCTCACTTAAATCCTGTATCCGCCCCTGATGCAACGTTAAATGTCAGCGGTAAAACTGTTCCGAAAACTCAAATTTGAGTCCGAAAAAAATAATCAGAACAAATTTTATCTTTTTTAAAAATGCTTAAAAACGAAATTTAGTTTCGATTCTTGCTATTTCATTAAAAATCTGTTTACAATAACAAAATAAATGCAAAGATATGTTAATGTTCGTATGCAGTTTGAGATAAAAATGCATCCAAACGATGATACATTTTAACCCAAGGTGGTATCGAAAGAATTTTTTAAAAATGTCAATTTTTAAATGAGTTTTATATTATTATATCCTAAATCTCAGTGAAATTGTAAATACGCAAAAATAGCCATGAAATGTGAGGGAATAGTTTTAAAGAGCTCCATAAGTTATTTAATATTCTTCACATTTAAAACCTAGCCCAATACTCAGCTACACTGTACACATGTGTTTGTGTTCCCTGTGAACTTAAAGAAACTGATTACTCGCCGTAAATCTAACATTTTCGTATCCGCAAATATTTACAATCCGATACTGGAGATACTGTAAACCTTTGAATTTTCGAACTTTGTCATTGTCAAGCAAAATTTACAGTTAAACATCAAAGGTCTCCGAAATCAGGTTTTAAAGATATAAGATTAGAAAGTTAGAGTTTGAGTCGACTAATGAGTCACGTTTAAAGATTTTTACTAAAAACAAATATTGACTATAGCATGCAAATTAAATACATTTGATGGGGCAATGATTTAGATAATTATGAAAGAAGTCAAATAAAAATAAAAAAGATTTAGATGTTATTAAAGGGATTTTATATAAGTGTAATTTCAGGTATCAATTTTTATAGTATTCTAAACACTGATCAATGTAAAATTGATATTTTTCTGCGAAACTAACGCGTTTCTTAACTGCAAGCAAACATTAGAAAATAGTACAGATTTATATTATTTGAATATTTTTATTGTATGCTTAAATCAACATTAATATGCATAAAATATGAATAATAAAGAAATTTCCTTGTACAAAGACGAATTTTAAAGAGAAAAAATAAATACTTAAAGACAAACCTAGGACAAAAAGTGATCATTCTGGACAAAAACTCACTTTTTTGGCCCGGGGGACAATACAGTGTGGGGGTTGACAAATTTTAAATTAATCGAGTCATTTTTAAGCAATCGGAGTAAAACAGTGCAGTCACATGAAATAAATGAAATCTTCTTATAATAAAAACAAATCCATAAGAGTTAAATTCGATTTTGTTCTGTTCAAACAAATTATAAATTGATCGCTAAATGTGTTTTTGTTTAATGCATGTTTATTCAATATTAACTTTTGAAATGTAATTTTGAATAAAATTGTTCATTTCCAATTCTTATTTTGACAATGCAGGAAGATGAAATTTCAGTGCTAAAAATATACAATTTACATGAAATTACAAGTTAACTGGGTCTCTCAAAGATAGAAAGAATCATTACCAGAGGTCGAATTTAAAGAATTTAAGCCGTGGCTCTAATTCAATAAGTTTGGATTCAGATCGATTATATTTATGCTTTTTAGTGATTAAAGGGAGTGTTCGCAAAACATGAAAGGGGATCTAGCTGTACTGATGGGTATTGTTGTAAGGCCCGTTTTTAAACAGTGTTTCAGCTTTAATAAAGCTTGACAAGAATCTGAGATGCAAATTCTCTTTTAAAATCAAATGCAAGATAAGTTTGCTTCTTCTAAATACAGAAAGCTAAATTTTTCACTCTGATCAAAGAAATTGACCAGAACGATTTTTCAAAACAGAAAACGCTGAAAACGACTGTGGAAAGTCTCGTAAACCTGTTTGAAAAACTATTAACAAATATTAAAATTACTTAATATAGAATTTAGTATAATAATTGATATAAACACATTCATTATTGTTTTGATAATCTTTTTCTTCAAATTGTGTTTTCGTGTAAAAAGGGAGGATTTCAAGTCTAACTTTCGTTGACACTATTCATAGAATTATTGCCTTTTATTGAAAAATATTTGCTCAGCAAAGAAAATTAAGTTTTATTAAACATAATGTTCAGAGGCAAATACAGGGGGTAGGGGCTAGAGGGGATCTGTGCCCCGGCCCTCCTGGATCATATGATATGCAGGCTCCATCTTGTACGAGAAGTGGAAAGTGGAAGGGAGAGGGGGAAAAGGGAAAGAGAAAGGAAAACGGGTAAGGGCCAAAGGGAAAAGGGAATTGAAAAAAGAGGTTGGGGAAAGGGGATACAGGGAAGGGGATGAAAGGAGAAAAAGAAAGGGGAAATGGAAAGGGCAATGGAATTGGAAAGTGAATGGGAAAGAAAGAGGAAAATGAAATATGCAGGAGGAGAATGGAAAGGGGTATAAGGAAAGGGGAAAGAAAAAAGGGGAGGAAAGTGAATGGAAAGAGTGCAATAGGAAAATGGAAGGAAGGCATGGTGAAAGGGGAAGAAAACGATAAGGTGTTTGATAGGGGAAAAGGAAGGAAATGGGGAAGAGGATGGGAAAGAGGAAGAGAATGGGGAAGGGGATCGAAAATGGGAAATGGGAAGGGGTTGGGGAAAGGGCAAAAAAGAAAAAAAAATTGGACTAGAAAGGGGAAGGGGGAATCGGAAAGAGGGAGATATAAAAAGAGAAAGGGTAAAGAAAAAAGGGAAAGAGGAAAGAGGAAAGAAAACAGGGGAAAGAGAGAGGGGAAGATTAAAGAGGAAGGGGAGGGAAAGGGGAAAGAGGAAGGTCAAGAGGGAAAAGAGAAAAAGGGAGTGGGAAAGAGGAAAGGGGGAAGGAAAAGGGAGGGGACACGAAAAGGTGGAACACTGGGGATCAGAGGGAAGGGAAGAGAAGGGAAGAGGGATTCAAGGAGGATGGTGAGGGGTATAATAAGAGGGAAAAGACAGAGAAGAGATGAAGGAAATTGTGAATAGGAAGAGTAAGAAAAGTGAAAGCCTCTGCTTTAAAGTAAAGTCTCATACTTCATGATATTATAACCTATACTTATTTATCATTTTTTTGGTAATGCAAGTAAACATAAAAATAAAGACATTTTGCCGGGCCGGAAGCTATTTGGGTGTGGCTAAGGAAGTGTGCGCTTTGCCGCAAAAGTCTATGCTTGCGAGTAAATTGTGGATAGGAAGCAGGCGCGTACACAGGATTTTAGCCAGGGGGGGCTAGATTTCGCGCGAAACGCGAAACAT